AAGGCAATTTACAACATGTATCTTTCTTTGAGTTACAAAGAAGTTATTTTCGCTTAGATAGCAACTAGCAAGTGATCAGGAGATCACTTTCTATTACCAGCAATTAAAGAGGTATATTTTTCTATGACCATTTCCGGAGAAAAATCAGTGAAATATCCCCTCTCTACATCCAAACCCTCTTCAGCAGCCAGCATCTCGACTCGATTCTGCACCCGGTCGGCTCCGACCTGGTTTGGCTCCAGTAGCATGCAGGCAATTTCAGTTGAGTCTTCACCATGAACGAGCCCTAGTGTCTGAACTGTTGGCAGTCCACCGCCACGAGCACTAACCGTCTTTGCAATCCTCCTTGTTGCTGATACATCTGTGGACAAAATGGGGTGTTGTAGAGAGCCACCCAAGGACGTGCACCGATCATGGAGATGCCTTTGGCTTTTGAAACCATGATAGGTCCCTCCTCAGGGTTCTGTGGAAGGATCTCAGGCATCGTCCATCCTGCCCATTGGCTTCCCATGAAATTAGGCCTGTAATACCCTAGCTCTCGCCTGATAATGTCAAGGGGTTCCCTGTGGGTGTGCTGCAGCATACAAAAACACTGGCACTGCATTTCCCAGGAAAAAAAATAATCGTTCAAAACATGAATATGATAAATACTTCTCCACAACATTAGTACGTATTGCAGCGAGAGAATGGATTGAAATAGGAAAAATTACAACAAGGTTTCAAGAAAATAAGTAATCATAAAAAAATCTTGTAACAAGCAATCATTATATACTCTTATCATTTTATGTACTGGAATTGCCACTACATACAGTTCACTTATTGTTAGGCTTTTTTATGATTACATTCCTTCCTTAGATCTCAATGATTTTCCCCTGAATATATCGGACACTAACCATTGAATCGACTGCCAATGTCAGCAGCAACTGCTTTAGCAAGCCAAGCAGCCTCATCCAGTGAGGCACGACCAAGAGGGTGGAACAAAATATCATCCACAACGCCTAATCTTGGATGAGCACCATCATGTGATTCAAGGTTGATGGAGTTGAATGCAACCTCCGCCATGGCTATCACCCGTTTGGTGCAAGGGGCTATATATAGCATTTCCTGTACAGTCATGAAGCACGTAAGATACAAGAGTGTACCTTGTTCTGTTGTAAGCTCTGTCGTCACATTTGGTTATGATCACGGTTTCTGGGTTCGCCCTCGCGGCTTCTTCAATGGCGTCAAGTGTTGCACTGTTTCGTGCTTCAGAGATGAACATCTTGCAGCATAGTAACATCGACTGGTCAACGGCTTTCTTGTCCTAACAAGTGAAAAATGGTCCAACCAAGTCAGCAAATACAACATACTGAGGACAGAAGTTCGACTCTACTTGCATATTATGATATTTAACCGGCTCATTTTTCCTTGAATGAAAAGATAACCTACGGATGACAGACATGTTAAACTTGAATTGAGTTCACTGCGAATTATTTTATTTTTTCCAGTGCCATATGGTTGCCCCATAGTTTTAAGAAAATTGCGAAACTAGCTCCGGTAAGTTAGTTAACGCACGTGACGACTGTGCAATAACTAGCTAGCCCTTGGCTAAATCCCTTGACCTTGAGGACGTCCTCAGGATCAGAAAGAAGATTTTGAAAGAACTACAGAAGCAAAATAAAAACTCTTTCCGACCTCCGTAAAAAAGAACAGTGAAAATACGAACTTTCATGGTCATTCTGGGGGGGAAAAATGATATTGTACCAGAAACTCACCGATGGAGAAAATGTCTTTCTTACAGGGAAAAAAACCGACGATCATTGATAGAACCATATCTAGTTAAGGATTAATTCATTATTCCCTTCCACTTTCTGTTTCGTTCCATTAATACTTGGATTATTCAAAGATCATTTCAGCAAAGAAAACCCAGAAAGATTTCACTGCAGAGACATAAACCAGGACAGGGGAAACAGAAAGAGAGAAACACAAAGGTCTTAGTAAGTACAATCTGTAGTTGCATTGCATGAATTGACACGAGAAACTTCTGCCAGTTACATCAGATTGATTGGAAGGTAAAAATTCAGAATCGAAGAAGTGGGAATAGATTTTCTGACCTTGCAAGTGGGATGGAAATCCATGGGTGTCGATTCAGCTAGGTGTGGTCTCTCTTTCTGAAAAGTGAAAACTCAGCGTCACGAGTGAATTATGGGGTGAAAAACAAAACAACGAGAAGGCACACAGATTAGTGCTAAGTGGTTGAGCCGTGGCACAATAAATAAGCCACTGGGGGTGACTCAGCTCTTCGCCCGCGGATAGCAACACGCAGAAAGGCGAAAGTCTACGTCTTTCCGTGTTGGCATGTAAGGAACTGCATTCTCAGAAAATAGTTTAATCTAATTAACGTGCGTCCCGTGCTCTCAAAGTGAAATCATTGAACTTTTATATTATAGACAGGAAAAGTACTGCAGTCAAAAAAAGAAGACGATGAAGTTTCGATAAGTGTGCAGCCTTGTCGTTTATATTTGTTGGAAATAAAATGTTACTGCCTCTTCTTCTAATTATAAAAAATTAGTTCACTAACTTAAAGAAATGAAAAAAAGAAGTTAAGTTAGTTATTTATAATAAATAGATATTTTTTTTAAAAACATTTTTACTAATAAAGTATATTGACTAAAACTATTATTGTTAGAAGAACTACCTTAAAAAGAAATAGATATATATATACACACAAAAGACAAAATGAATTGAGGTTTTACATTTAAGACCAAAATAAAAGTCAAATAAGGTTTTATATTAAAGCGGAGAGTTAGTATTATTTTCATATTTTGTTCCCAAATCTGATCCAAATGTTTTAAGAAATATTAACAAGTTAATTTTTTTTTTAATAAGATACTCCTCCGGTCCTAATTATAAGACCCAATTGACTTATTTGAGGAGATTAAGGAAGTAAGTTAAGTTGGTTATTTATAATAAATAAGTGTTGTTATTCCTAAAATATCCTTGCTAATTAAGTATATTGGCTAAAACTATCATTATTAGAAGGATTATCTTGGAAAAAAATGCATAAATATAAGAGAGAAAATGGATTGGGTCTTATAATTAAGACCAAATAAAAAGTCAAATTAAGTCTTATAATAAAGACCAGAGGAGTAGTACATTAGTACGTGACAAAGAATTGAAGACGCTTGGCTCCCCGGTGATCCCGAAAAAACACCGAAAGACGCTTGCTTATCCATTGGCTTGGGCGTGAATCACGTGCCGCTATCCCGTAGCGGCTCACATGCTCATCATCCTTTCGAAGGTCAGACAGTTGCTCCGGCTCTTATAAATAACTTTTCAATAAGAAAAAAAAAATTTTGTTACATGAAAATGTTTATAAATATGCAATAGTAGAATCCAAACAAGCCTTTCATATCCCCCAAATCATGATTAACAAACCTAATCTAATCAAATACATATTCGCAAGAAACTAAAAATCTAATCATTTCTTGCGGATGCATGATGTGTATAATTTTGTCTGAGTCCGACTGATTTAGTTTATATTTATTGAGTTTTCAGGCCTAATTTTATTAACCTTTATCTTATATACATACATAAACATAAGCATCGCCTTCAATGGCGTGTTGGAGTAGCGTTGCGAGAGGTAATGAAGAATTGTTAACTGTTGGAATTTTTGGAAATTACAAAAATGGCTATACACAGTTCTGCCTCCTTCTCTTTTTATAAAAACCATCCCTGTCCTTTTATTAAAAATAAAAAATTTGACCAAATCACCATGTGAATAAATTTTTTTTGGTAAAATTAATTAAAAACAATAAATATATATAAAAATTGTGAGTTTGTTCTAAAAAATATCTACGGGGAAGAGAGTATAAGAGAGAATAGGAAAATGAATGAATATTATTTCAAGAAATAATATAATAGATATATTGACTTTTAAAATAAGTAATTAATTCGGAAAAAATAAAAAACTGGTAAAAAAAATTTGAGACATCTTTTAAGTGTTTCTTATAAATAAAAACAAGAAAGAGATAATAGGTATTTCTTATGAAAAGCAATAGAATAATGCAAAAGAATTACGAGGAAACAGATAAAGCCCTGGTTACTGGATTGACTCAGGTTATATGTCCAAACTAAACTGCCACGATCACAATTTACAAGAAAGAATCCCAAGGGATACTTCCTAATATCCCTTTCCGCTCAATAAATCTTGAGGCATGGAAAGATATTATTCACAACCAGCGTTAATGTGCTGATGTGAGCTGCTGGCCTTTGATACAATTCCAATAAGGCTCTTATGTGAACACACTCCCTTTCACGCTTGGAAATGTGGAGTAAAATCAGGACATCCAAGCCTTCATTATGAACAAGAAAGCTGTAAGCTTTTCTTACCCGTCCCAGCTGGAATTAATCTATTTCCTGCGTGAGGTCTCTTATTTTCTGTCCATTGATGAAGAACGACAGTTGCATTTAGCCATTGACAATCCGCGATGGACAATGAGCAGATATTTTAACGAAATATAGAACATGTGGATACGGCCGGAATCATCTCCAGATAATAGAAACAAAAACTCAAGAGAAGCTGGCTGTTTGACGGTGACATGGAATAATTATGAACCAGAAATTTCCCTCACAAGAAATTAGACGAGCACTAAACAGGTAAACTAGAAGCCTGGATATTTTCTTCTATCCAAAACGACAAGGTAAATAACGTATCTGAATTCGAAATATCCTTTATATATTGTATATCTTATCTCAAATATAAAGAAATGAAAGAACAGATTGAATCACAGCCATATTTTCTGTTATTCAGATAGACAACAAGGCAAATAATGCATCTCAGAGATCCTCTAAATAATTATATCTCACCACAAAATAATATTACATGCTGCAAACTAGCCAATCATTTAAATAACTTCTGTAGAACCGAGTCCATTGACATGATCAGCAGAATGGGGTCAACCTGCCAGAATTTGGACTAACATCATCTTATAACGACACTTCACAGAATCTCATGAAAAATCCTCGGCAAATCTCGTAGACAAGAAACAAGGGTTCTTTGGCACTTCGTTCCCTCCTCAATCAAGTGGATCTAACTTCAAGTAACTTTGAATTATTTCTTCCTGTGAGAAGTCCGTAAAGTAGCCTTTCCCCACAGGAATACCCTCTTCCCTAGCAAGGCTCTCAACTTCTTGTTGTACTCTGTCTCCCCCAATTCTAATTGGATCCAACAAATTACAGGCTACCTCAATAACACCCTCACCGTGTTCGAGTGCCATTGCCTGTATAGTCGGAAGTCCACCACCTCTCCCACTAACTCTCTTTGCAATTCTTCGAACAGCATTGATATTAGAAGATAACAGAGGGACATTGTAATTATCAACCCATTTGGTTGCTCCAATCACCACGACACCTTTTGATGAAGAAACTTGAGATGGTCCGCTATCTGGATTGAGTGTCAAAAGATTGGATTTTGGCCCTCCGACCCACTGGTTTGCACTGGAGTTCGGCTTGAAATATCCTAATGCTCTTCTAATTGAATCAAGTGGCCTACCCTCTTCATGTGCTGCTCCGTATAGAAAAACAGGAACTGCAGGGAAGTTATATGATCAGTAAAAGTAACGAATCAAAAATTCAAGTGAAAAGATGGTTGACATATAAAAATAGTTCTACAGTCACTTTATCAGTGAATCAACTTGCGTCAGTGAGATCCAAATCCCCATGAGAACTTTAAAACCAGGAATGTTTTACCTAGGATAGGTCAAGACCATCAAATTGACAGAAGGGGTTGATGGAAGGGTTTCTCAAATTTAAGAGTCTGGCGAAGCTCCCAGCCATGGATACCAACCTTGCAAGTTGGAGCCCACATCGCCAGCCAAAAGTCTAGCACTCTCAGCTGCTTGATCCAAGGAAGCATCTGCCAGCGGGTGACAGCAAATGTGATCGACAATCCCCAGTCTTGGATGTGTTCCACAATGCATCTCAAAGTCAATGTTGTCAAACGCAGCCTTCACCATGGCAGACACAGCACTTTTCAAGTGGCATGGCTCAGAAGATGGGGCAGGAGCTAACTCAGAAACTAGAGTGAAACCAACTCTATTGTAGGCCACATCTTCAAACTTGTTGATTATTGGAGCTCGAGGGAAAAGCTTGGCGGCTTGTTCAATTGACTCCAATGCACTCCTGTTTCTGCTTTCTGATATATAAACCTTGCAGCATGTGAGCATCATCTTCAACATTTTCTTTCCAATTGTCACCTGTCAGAGGCTCATCAAAAGTAAAGACTGAGACAACAAAAACGACCACAAGCCTTCCCACCCAACCTGATCTCAAGTTCTCAAGAAGGTTGCTTTTACACGGATTAAAGATATGACAGCTGCGACGAAAACAACATCTAATTTTGAGCAAAGTAACCATATTCAGAGGTAAACATTTCATTTCAAGGACGAATTAAGCACTTTAAAAAGAGCTAATTCATGGAAATTTATCTCCACAAAAAAAAAAAAAAAATCCCAGTTGAAAGGGGAAAATATCATTAAACTAACGCAATCGTACATCAAGAAGACGAAGGGCCCAGGGAAAAAGAGAAAACGAGAATAAAAGAAGAAAAATAACAAAGGGCCACGGTACATCAATTTCTATAATACTAAGATCATTAAAAGAGCTGAGGGTGGGTTGAACCATGCAACCACAGACCGAATGAGACTTTAAGGCCGCATAATACCAAATTTAGCAAAAATAAAATTCCCATATCGGGCAAAAATCCTACAACTAATGAAATATATTTCTTCTCCTTCCCAAAAATCATAGAACCTTCTTCAAAACTCAATATCCTTGGCGTCTGAAGAAGATTTTGGATAGCCATCATAATCTAGCTTCACGCGCAGTGAAGAACAAACCATCTTAAACTTGAGCCTCAAACTGTCCATGATTTCTTGTACTTGTAGATTTTCAGGGTCCAAGACCGGATACTTCTCAATCAATTCATTCATCTGCTTGATGGCAATTTTAACCCTCGAAGAGAAGCAGTTGGGGTCGACCCGAATAGCGGAGCTCCAAACGTCAACACAGCCCCTGTAGAAGCCAAGCTCTTCGCCAACCTCAAAACCGACTTTGAGACCCACTTGCTTTGCCTCGTCCTTGCCAGCTATTAGACCGTCTTTGTAGCCCTCGTCGTAGCCTTCCTTACGATGAGTTTCTTCTAGGTGAATAAATGAATCGAACATATCGTCTGACATCCAAGAGCAGAATTCTCAGGCAAACTAGTTTCGACCTTTATCGATGACAACCTTCTTGTCCAGGGGACGGTGTATCAGTATGCGGGACAAATTAACTTCCAAAGACGCAAAAAGGCTGATCTTGCCCGCCGCGAGGTCGACGCAGGGAAAGATGAAAGACCCTCAATGGATGAAAAAAAGGCCTTCGCCTGGAGGATCGGAATGAATTTTTACCACTCAAAAACTTGTGTTTGGCATGTAGAGGCACGCGCTGGGATTCCGTTTTTTTTATAAGTTTGTTTGGTACGAGTTTCCGGAGGCTGTGAAAGACCCAAAAAATAGTGAAATGACAAAAATAACCCTCAATTATCCTCAACCACAAAATGCCTCATCGTTTCGACAGTGAGATGGGCTTTTTTGGTTCTGGAGAAGGATTCAAAGCATCGTCTCGTCGGACATGGGCCAGATGGATCTCAAATGCTCAAAGGTCACGGCGGAGCTTATCGGCGGCTGGCGGGTGAGCACATTTTAAAGTACACGAGCTTGTGAATGGCTCCTTGACGGTCGACAGGAACAGGTTTTCTTATTTTTCTGGTGTCAAAAACGTTGTACAGTTTTTTCCTATATAATTAAAACAGGGATTCGGTTCTACAGAATTTTCTCCCTGTGCGTGGTTTGGTCAGCCTTTGCAACAATGACTAAAAGAAGAGCATAATCAAAATGCCATTGCACGAGAGCATTCGATAATTATAATTTATAATTTCAAACAGAAATTTAAAATAATAAAAACATATTGTAATTCGGAATGGGGTTATACCTTGTAAGTGAAACTTGAAGAATCTGAGGGAATGGCAAAATGAAAGTGCAGGCAGAGAATTTGAGGAACGAAGAATGGAAGAGGGGCGTGCTCGCTTTGGATGAGATTAGGGGTGAAATAGTAATATCGTTATTTATTCCCTGGAATGAAAGCCGATTCCCATTTATTTTGGGCCCCCAGGCAAGGCCCATTCTTACCCAGATGGATGGAAGCAGCTTTCCCCATGGAAGAAAGTTTCAACTTTCAATACCAAAACAGCTACCCATCGTCCGCAGGTTCAGCTGGTGAAGGGGTGAGACATATGACTAAGTTGGCATGTGTTCGATCCCTGGGAAGTACCACTTTGTTGTGCTTCCAGTCACGGCGCTTGGGAAGGCATCCTAGCTCTTGGGTGTCTAGGTAAACGCCTGAGGGTAATTGACGGCTCGCCCTGTTCAACATTGATATGACCTAGGAAGAAGGGAGATTTCGCCCTACCATTGGATTGTGGGTGAGCCCAAACCCTTTCCAAAAATTTTTGTATCAAAAAAAAAAAAACCAAAACAGCTCATTTGTTATTTTCATTTTCCTTCCCATGGTCCCCTTCCCTACCCCTCAAACGCATAGCCTTAACTCTTGTAAACAATTATGCAAAATATAAAGTGAGAATTATAATAAAATCATGAAAAAATAATTATTAAAAAATCTCACTAACAATTCAAGTAACATGTAATGACAAGTTCCAGAATTAAAAAAAATAACTTTTTTTATAATTATTTTTTCTTTAAGACTTCATTGTAATTCTACCGAATATAAATTTCTATGTGTAACTTCATTTCCGGTAGCAATTCCCTGTTTTTATTTTTTTTTGGCTCCTGATAACAAACCATTTAACATTTGATACATATGATTAATTCAGCTTCAATTATATCTACAGGACTTAATATGAAGACATCATTAGGCGATAAAATCCTAACTGTTCATGCCAGCGGCTGTGTGTTCCTTGTTGTTTAAAAGATTAGAATGACAGCCCCACTATACTTTTTCATACTTCTGGTTTTTTAATGATCTATGAAAAGTTCAGTGCAAGGACAAACTCGGGAAAAATAACAGTTTGAACTTCAAACAAAAGAAAATGTAACGATGGTAATAATAATCACGATTCAAAGAAACCCCATGTACCATCGCCACAATTGCTTTACATAGACAAAATACATTCCATTGCATTCCTATGCTACCACGTCATTGAACCCTCTTACTTTCATTTTCAAAAATATTTACAATAAAGCTAATTTATTAAATCTTAAAGAAAACACTTCATTAAAAATCGACAACCATTAAAAAGAACTAATTAAAAATTTATTTTAACATTTGAATAATTTATCTTTTCCATTGGCTAAACAAAAGGAATAATTTATTTTTTAAAACACAGCTTCTGAAAAATAATTGATTTGATCAAACTATTTTTAGCCTACAGTAAAATAGACAAAACCCCTTTTATTCAAACGCAACACGAATTCAATTCCTGCGGCCAATTATTTCGCATCAAGCAATCAATAAAGCAGATATTTTCTCCTCGAGAATAATTAATTTTAATTCCGCTCAAACCGTTTAATGGTGAGAATATAGGCTTCCCATAACTAGCTTACCTTGGAATGCATCTTATACTTTAGATCAATGAAAGTACTACCTCCGTTACTAATTATAAGACCTTATAATTAGGATAGGAGGTAGTAATTCACTTGCAAATGCGGTTAGTAGGCTAGTAGTCAAGTGTGACTGACAAACGGCCAATAGGTATATAGTCTTGGAAAAATATCATCTCCCAAGATTCTTTATCTTCAAGGATTGACCAATAGCTAGCCAAAAGAATTATTTTCCAAAACAGGACTAAGTCTCAGACATGGCAAAGAGAAAAACCAGTGCAAACGCATTCTTACAAACTCTCCGGACCTCACTTTAGTGCCTCCACCAATGCCTGCAAATATTCAGAATTTACTTAGCAAACACCATAACATCGCTTCCCAAATAAGACACGCCTGTGATTAACAACACAACATTCTGAGACATTCTTTTCACCCCAATGCGCAATATTTCATGAAATGTAATTCTCATCAATCTGAAGATTTTAGTCATGAAAGATTATCCTATTAATACTATTAATTCCGGATTTCACAGTATGTTCGGTGAAGAGATTATCATGCAGATGAACACATCACATTGTCTTAAAAAGACCCCCCCCAAAAAAAAAAAAAGTCTCTGATGGCCAGAATAAGGAAGCAAATACCAGACATTTCAAAATAATCACACCCACAGCATTCACAGGAATGCCAAACCACTAACATGATACATGAGATAAATCATCAAAGGTTTAATTGTTCTTCTGCTGAAAGAGAATGTCCAAAAAAATATGTTTATTTTGGTAGTATTCTGGCTATAACACAATAACCAAGTATTCTAGTATGGTTAACTGAAGGCCAAGAAGAAATCTTCAGGCTCACAGAACTTGGCTGTTGCATAGGTCAATTATGAAAATAAATCTGGAGCTTGGATAATTCATAATAACTCAAGCAGCCCAACTAAAAACTGAGAAAAGAAAATCTTAGCCGTAGGATTGAAAACAAAAATAGAAATACCTCTTCTTTCTTGCCCTTGCCTCTAGTGAAGAACTTGTATCCTCCAAAGAAGAGCAGGCCCCAGCCAGACAAAGAAACAATTACAAACTGCAGGCAAATAGTAACTGGTGAAGAGATGTACGAACATGTTTCCATTTTACATAGCAGATCAGATGTAACTAATAGTTTAACATGCCGTGTCAAATTTGACAAATCTTTTGGATAGAGTGGATCTTCAATCTCAAAATTAGACATACATGTTCCTCCTTCCATTTAGATGGGTTCATTGGATCTTGCCAGCAGTTAACTTTAGGGGGGCCATGGTGATCTGCAAGAATCAAATGAGAAAACCATTACACGTACGTCAGAACTTTCCACTCAAGCAAATTGTAAGCCACAACACGATACAATATGTTCAAACGTCAACACGAGTACGAAGATGAAAAATGTATTGATTGGATGCTGGCATAATAATTTTCGAAGTCATATTCCACCATCAATGCCAAAATATAATTTTTATTTCCCAAAGTTATTATAATGTTCATTAGCACGAGAAATGTATACAAAGTAACATCTACACACACCCAGAAAACAAATGGTGTTTGATATCCGTTGTCCACTTATTTATTTGTTTCCATACTGCCTTGTTTCATTACATCATGATAATTTAAAGATACCTTCGGGCAAGGATTCAGTTTTTCTCATCATTAAAAAAAATCCAACATTTAATCTTTTTGGTTCTCAGCGAGGACGAGCCAACTATTCTGAGGCTTCCTTTGGGCTATAAAATGTGCTGCTTACTAGTAACTGAAAAGACTCACAACTCATCTTTCGAATAAAGCTAGATTTATAATCTCCATTGTACTAAAAAATTTCCCGTTCAATCACAAGCCAGAAAATAGCAAGAATCTAGAGCCAAAGAAAAAACATGATTGAGTTTTTTCCCTTGACACAATACATTCAATTCTTGAGAAAGCAGAGATTCTTAGCTCCCAATAGCGCGTCAAACTATAAAAAATGCGAGGATTGGAAGGATTCAGTAATCCCAATTTCATGGCAACTGGGATCGGAGAATAAATGGACAATCCAAAACTAAAATTTACCCGCAGCTCCGGCCAGCCCACGCCTTTGGATTAGATTGGCGGTTTGAATCGGAGTTCTAGCAGAGGAAATACGGCTCAAAGACGCTGCTCGGCGAGCCGCAGCGGCTGCTAGAGTGGCCATGTGTTTCAACTCGAATACGCGACAGAGAAGAACCGAGGGACGAAAAGACAGGGGGACCAGACGGCAGGAGGCAAAAACCAACTCTTGCACCGGGGGACGAATATGACCCGAGTCAGTCACTATGCTCGACGACGACGTCGTTTCCACACCTCATCTGACCACCCCCCCTTTTTTTTTCTTTTTGTGGCAATCATGTTGTTGTTATCGTCTGATTTCTTGGGCCAGAGCCTCCGGGTCTCGCATGTAGAATTGTTTGATCCTTCCCTCTCATTCCATTTGTCTAAAACCGTTGATTGGGTTAACGGTGTATATGGATTGAATATTTGGTCCCTTTTTACCTTGATTATATTTTGGGAGAATGACATACAAGAACAGTTAAAATAAGGCACATAAATCCCACGTACAAACTAATTTATTTTTATAGTAGTAATATCGAGTCATAGTGATTTTTCAAATTGGTCGAATCACATTTTTTTTTAAGGTTTTATGAAAGGATATTAGCAAATAAATAAATTTCTAGAAAGGAATATTTTGTCCCCAAAAATATAGATTTTATAAAAGCCAGGAAATAAAATATTGTATTAAAAGTTTCCCAAATTGGTTTGACCTAGTGTCAAGTTTTTCTTTAATAAGACTTGACAAGTTTGTTAAATACTACCTCCAATCATAAATATAAAAGTTAGTCGGAGATCTGATTTAATTGTAAATATAAAATATCAATCTACTCTACTTCTTATATTTATTATTTTTTGAGTAAAATACTCTAACCTCCCTTATATTTTGTCTTAATTACACAGACCTCCCTTCTATTTTGAAAACATACACTTAAATTCAAACTGTTAACTCCGTTAAAAATATTTCAAAAAGATTTTTTTAATTCAAATTTATATTGAAATACTTTCTATTTGCTAAATTACCTTTCATAATACTAAGTCCTAAAATTTTGGTTAAAATTATATCGAAGAATTTAAGATTTTCTCCTTTACCTTAATTTTATTTTTTTATTTTTAAAATTGTTGTTTGTTTGATGTTTTTATCGTATTGGGCCAAAAATTAAGTAATTCAGTTAATACAAACATAAATTTAAATGATTTATATAAGTTTTTAAACTCACATAATTTATATTATGTGATAAGAAAATAAGCATTCAAAATATTTCTAGCCATTTAAAAAAAATCTTAAGTTTCAATATTTTATGAGGAACTAAAATTATATAATTCTATAGTATAATTGAAATTAAAAAATTTATAACATCTTTAAAATTTTGAAAATACATGTATTATAATTATTTTTTGTTGTATCAAATATTATGTTTTTATACATAAATGTTTAAACAACATTTATGTTAAAAAGAGATATTTTAGTCAAAATAAAAATTTAAAAGTCAAATCTAACGGTCAACTAACAGTTAGATAAATGGACATCGAATATTAAAAATATAAAAGAGGTTTGTGTAACATACACTTTAATTTAAAGAGAATTTTATATATGTTTTAAAAATATAATGGAGGTTTCTGTAATTTAAGTAAAATAGAGGGGTAGTCAGTGTATTTTATTCTTTTTTTTTTTTTTTAAATAGTCTTCATACTGATTTCACATATTAAAGAGTTTTTATTTTAATGCACATGATTAATCAATGTGTTTTGAGAAAAACAACACTTATTTACTACAAATAACTAATTTTTTATATTTTCTAATTAGTTATCTAATTCTTAAATTAAGTATTGGAGGTAGCATGTCATGTAGATGTAATCAGCACGAGTGAGTAGTAAACATCATGAACAAAGCAAATCATTTTAAGCACTAATATTTCGTGTTATCTATCTTTGCACCGGATTATCTATACCTATACGTAATGTAAGCTTAAGTATAATCTCTTTAATAAATTTTAAATTAATTATTTATCCTGTGCGATCACAATCAAAAGACGTCTAAAGTAATGATAAGGCGTTACTGATTTAGGCACACTCCTTAAATCATTAAAAAAAAAAAGTCTTGGTTTATAATTTTGATGAACAAAGATTAAAAAAGAATATAATTATGAATAGATGAATTATCACTATCAGTTGAGAATCTAAACAATGAAAAGAAAACAATTGTTTATACAGTTTTTCTTTTAATTGATACGTTACCAAATGTCATATATTTTCCTAGCAATTTTTTTTAATCAATATTTTGCTAGCAATTCATTATCATACAAAACTCTACAACTTTCCAAAATTGTTTTCCTATGAAAACATCCATATTATGCATCAGCCTAGTCTAGTCACAACATTTTATTCATTTACACATAATCTATTGGAAAGTTCGCTGGCTACAATTGTTGCTGCAAATATTGCTGTTGCCGGCTTTGAAGTTGAATGAGCCCACATTTTATACTTCTCTCTTGCAACTGTCGTATATACAGTGTGAACAACATTAATAATGCAGATGATAAATCAAACGGATGCTCATATGCAAATGCTCTTCCTCAGGTCATTCTAAGATTCTACTCGTATATCACAAGCCTCCAAATGAGAATTTACAAATCTTAGCCTTCTACTTTTACTTTCTCTTTCCCTGTCACAAGCCTTTTGGTTTTTAATAATTTTAATATCGGAACATACTGATTTTATGCTGATGGATGTAATTAGAGGCTTGATACACTTTTGTACATTTAGTACACACAAGCAATGGTTAATGGAAGTGGTTTTCATGCTTAGCTAAACCAAATCTTCGGAACCAGTTACAATACTGATCACTTTGATGAATATTATAAACTCATCAGACTTATCACTTTAATAAACATTGTAAGCTCATTAGATCTGGATCATTCAAATAAAATTTGGATGGTCCAGATTTAATTTATTTTTATTTTTATTTGTTCAAAATAATTATTTTAATAGGTTTAGAATATAAAATAAAGATAATCTCTTAATTATTATTTTCTCAAAAGATAATTTTTTTGTTTAAAAATAATTAATTAAAATTTTAAAATATGAACACTTCAAATAAGATTTAGATGATTCAGATCTAATGAGAATGAGCACTAAAGCTAATTTCCAAATCTTCAACGTGACATTTATGTTCAAATTAGTGCTAGCAAAAATGGCACAAGTCATATTTTATTACCTACCTCAAGAAAAGATATGTTCTGGAAAAGATCATGAACCTCATCAAGAAGCAATTTTTCTTGAGAAACAACCTCTGCTAATTCTGATAACCATGCTGCAACCTCATCAGCCTGTCGATAAAACAATCTTAATTAAAATCATTATTAGTTAATATTCCCTCCCCTCCCTTTTTATAGGGCCTATTAACTACTTTCTAAAGGTTTAGGAAATTAGCTAAACATATAAAAATTTCACAACTTTCCAAAATTACACTTAACAAACTAAAGTTACTATTTAAGCTAACTGTGAAAGGAACGAGGATATTTTTAAAAATGTATCATTAAATTTTATAAGTGGTATTGTCTTAAGGACTAGCTAATAGATATTTCTTATAAATAGGATTAAAGGAGTAACAAATTAGCAAAATAAGAACATCAACAGGATAACCACATACCAAAGGTGAAAAACTTGTTAACGCTGACTTCATGGAAGCTATAAGTTCATATGCATGTTTTAGAGTAACAGACATTGATGGTATGTCCACCTGCAAGCATAAGAACTCAGAAAATTGTGATTTGATCCATGTTTAAAAGTTTAGTTTACAAGCATGCTACATTTATAATAAAATTAAAGAATGAGATATTCCCTCCAAAAAAAAAAGAAAGAATGAGATATATGGAAAAGTATGTAAGCATGCATAATACACGAATGTATTCAATATTCATTCAGTCAGTGAGCCTTTATTGAACCTACCTCTGCGCCTTCTGTTAAGGGTAATTTGCAGACAATAGAGTGCAGACAATCTTTAATTACAGTAATTGCTGACATGTGTTGTCTTTCCAAATCTCCCCATACTCCTAATAGCTTATTCTGCACAAAAGCAAGAAGACATGCTTAGTAAGGGGTCATATTTTTAACTCATTTTCTTTCAACAAATGTTTATAATTAGGTGAGTTGTAATACTCACCTGAGACTGTATTATAAAGTTAAGTTTCATCTCAAGCTTTTCTTTCTCATACTGCATCTTCTTTTGCATCACTGATCGTTGCAACTTCGTGACGCCATTCCAAGCATATAGTAAATTGCTCTAAAACACATTGAAATGCAGTAAACATTGTTATAAAAGTTTTAAAAAAAAAGAAAAAACCGACAAAGTTAGTATCAATATTAGAAGTTGGAAGCCTACTTCTGCTTGAATAGAAAGGCTTTTATTCACAGCTTCAGCTTTAGCATTTGCATATCGCCACTGCATCAATCGATTATCCATCAATCGAAGCTGATAAACAGTGTCTGAAGTACTCGATCCTGTTAAAGTTGAATTCGTAGATGATTTCTTGCCCCGGAAGAAATCGAAGCCCCTGTTTAGAAATTTATCCACGCCTTTAGCTACATGTGAGGGACTAGTTGGAGGCTTCAAGCCTGAAAACGAAATGAGTTTCTCCTTGCTTTCCACAGACATCGGTGGCGATCCTGATCGCCCTGGTGATAGAGCCCATTGCGATTTTGAACTTTTATATCCGGTGAGAGAATTTGCCCTCTTGATCGCATTTTTTATAGTGAATTTCTTTAAAATGGAAGAGTCCTCTGACGACAGTGGATGCTGAATGTTCGAATCCGAAGTACCTCTCCGGCTCCTTCTTGATATATGATTCATATACTTAGACGGAACTTCTATCCCTAATTTCCTGGTACTTAAATCAGAAGCACCTGAAGGGATATCGCTGCAGTCTGATTCAGAGTCCAGAGTCGTAGTAAAGGATTCCGATTTTCTGTACAGAGCATTCTCATCTACTGACAATCTACCTGGGACAATATTAAAATCCTTACAACTGGAATTCACAGACGAAGATGATTTTCCGGGAAAACCAAGTTTTCCCGTGTACCTCGTAGATCCACCAATAATAGCATGTTGGTGATTTTCTTTGGAAATATTACTATTACTGTTATTATCAAATTGATCATTCTCAAACCTCTTAAACACACTGCAACTCCTCTGCTTAGTGAGAGCAAAAACAGAGTTAGATTTTTCAGATTTCTCGTTACTTTTGCGATCAAGGAAGTCCCTGAGCCTATCATTACCAAGATGATCAGCGAGAGTAGCATCAAGGTTGTTTTTATTCACTGTAGAGGACGAAGAAGGCCAAAGCTGTCCTCGGAGAAGACCCGCGTCCTCTAGACTCCAATGCTTCCGGTTGTCGGTAGAGTCCGACGACCCCTGTTTGCGTCGAATCGGCGAGACAGCTCCTTGAGGAGACGCAAATTCAGCTTCAAGCCACGTGGTTGAGGTGGGAGAGAGAAATCGCGAACTCACTTCACGTGTTTTGCCTCTGCGATGCTTCGGCGACTGAGAAGAAATCACAGAATCCTTGTCTTTCTTGGTTGAAGACATGGTGAGACGTTTGAGTAAAGTGAGAACTGGGAATGGCAGCAAGTAGGGAGTTATTGTTGAGGGAAGATGCTTTCAGGTAAATCAAATGTGCGAAGAGACAATGAAAAGGGAGTAGGAGACGGGTGGAAGAAGAAGTTATTGGTGAAAGCTCCGCCACTTTGTGTGAGACGCCGGCCGTTGACGAGCGACCGGTTCAATGGGGAAGTGCCACGTGTCGACATATTCGTTATGTGAATGGCCTTAATTGTGCTTCTTGTTTGGATTACAAATGGCTAGTTTAAACTTCAAATTGAACATGTTAGTTCCTTCTCGAGTCCAGGAGGCTGTTGTCACCAGTATATGCTGTTACGCAGGACGACTTTTATGGAAATTAAGAAACAGAATGGAATAAGTTATGATTGTCAGTCATAAACCGTTATATATTATGAGAAAAATCATTATTCTGAAATCAAATCCTGAATTCTTTCAGAATATATATATATATATATATATATATATTTATATAAAAGATAGTACTATTTTAAGGCTAGGCAAGAAGGATAAAGAATTTCTATATGAAATTACCAAAAATAGATGGACCCCTTCATTGAGTTTGAATGAGTAAGCATGCGCGCAGATAAGCTAGTTTTTCTTCTCTGTTTCTCTTGGTTGATCACATGTCTATCTTTCGGCCAACGGTACTTTTTAAGGAAAAATATAACCACATTATTTTGGGGAAGGCAAGGCACCCCGGAACTCAACTTTTGCAAAAATATCTGAAGAATTATCCAATCCCCAACTTCTATCTATATTTAACAAAGTCACATTTGGTTAAATAAAAGCAATATCAAAATCACTACCATTTAACCATGAAAAATTTTAGCATGTCAACATCTCGACAGGACGCAACCTTTATATAAAGAGCCACAATTTTTTTTTTGACGGACTAAAAAGCCTAAAATTTGTTTACGTCCATGGGACACGTGTGTCAGATTGCCAGTATGAAAATAGTATTGAACTTCTGAGGAACGTGAAATATCAACAAGGCTTTGAAACGTGAACATATATGGAAAGCTCCAGTGAAAAAGGGTTAAATGTAGCTCGCAGTTCTGCACGACGACATGGACTAACTAAAATTCCTTCTAAGTTAATATAATCCAATAACAATCAACATCCATATGCTACAACAGAATATCAAGAATCAAATGCGTACTCCCATGTTACTACAAAAAAAATTGTACAGGCATTTCTTGGTTCAGGCTGCAAAATTCAAACCTCAAAACCCAGCTTGTCTGTGCACGGGATCACCCAACCTTCTGGTTCCATGGTCGGTGGAAAACGCACAGTTGCAATAACAACAGAGGATAATCATCAGTCAGCAGGGGCTTGTACGATTCAAGGCCTAGCCATGGACCAACGTTGAACTTAGGAGTCCCCAATAAAGCATGGTTATAAATCAATGAAAGTTGCATTTTTGCAATAAAGGATGAGAATAATCGACATATTTCTCCCACATTGGCTTGTACTTCTCAATCGCAATCTTCAACCATGGTTTGGAGTTTCCATTGAAGTGTAGCACAGCTCCTTTCTCTACTAACTGAGGATCAACAGTAGTGTAGCCGAATCCCAATACATGCCATAACGAATCCAAGGGTTCAGTTAAACCGTAAAATGTCAACAGGCCGGGTGGTAACGTACCAAGTTTCCATAATGTCCGATCAACATTCTTTTCCTGCCAGTAGTGGTAGATGCCTGTGACATTCCTTTTCCTCCATTCAACCAAATCAAATACATTCATCCCAAATGCCCATCCACATGCGTCAGGATCAAAATGTGCTCGTATAAGAGGATGGGAGTAATTCAGGTATTTATGGTATCTATGAAATGTCTCCATGCACGTCTCAACAGCTCCGTTAACATTGCCATTCAAATCGATGGAGAAAAGTGGAGAGAGATCCTTCTGAACCACGACATCATCATCAAGAAACACCACCTTCTTCAGGGCAGGAAAAACTTCAGGAATATAAAACCTTAGGTGATTAAGCATGGAGAGATATTTAGGGTTCCGAAACTTAATTGGCGTCTTGCCATCATCACTGTTGCCAGAAAAGTAGTAGTTCTGTATTTCCGAGTCTTGAAGTTGCTTAAGAACAGGAACATATGAAGCATTCAACCAGCTGAAGTCTTCAAACTTCTGAACCTCAACAGTCACTCCTCGGAAGTCATTCATGGCAAACCATGCCTTCATCGCAGCATAATTTATTTCATCAGTGACAAGGTGGAAAACTACCATTTCGGGATTTTTAGAGTTTATTGCAGTTGAATTGACAACTACTGAAGTGGCAATTATGTTATCGGAGAACACGCAAAAGTGGTAAAGATTGTTGTCCTTTAGCTTCAGCTCCATTTGCCTCTTTTCCATCAATTTCTTTTGCAGATTAAGGTTTCTGAACCATTCAGTTGTCAGCCGGACACCAAGACAGTATAGGCTTTTTGGGACTTCTTCAGCAGCTATTTGTCCATATTTTGAACTCTTTTCAGATACAGAACTCGATTGTTCTTCAAGACTTTGAATTTTGGCCTTCAGTCTCATTATCATTGTTGCACTGTCATAATGCAGCTGTTGGGCCTGGTATAGCAATACTGCCATCTCACGGATGGAATGTTCTGATTCCATGGTTGTTAAAGGGACACGCCTTGTAGCAGCCTTCGAGAGCAGAATCTTTGAATTGCGGATCTGGGCACTTAATTCCCAAGCAAATTGAAGATTGTTACTTTCTTTTGCAATGACAACAAAAGCTTTCGCTAAGGATATCTGGTCATTCAGTTGTCTGGTCACCGAGTCGGGGCTTAACATCTCTTCCGTAATATTAAGGCCTTCCATAATCCTATCATGTTTGTACATTCTCTGCATAACATTGTTCAAGAAATAATATGTAAACATAAGGATGATAAGGACTGTATCTATTATCTCTTCCTCCCTCCCACGAACATCATGACCTTAAAGTAAATCTTAGATTTATAATTTCATAATGAGCACTTAAGCATTCCATGGAAGCAACATTTTGACAATTTAATCAAGTCAAAGTTGTTTCATGCGATCATAGCAATCTCCTCTGAAGCCTAGTTTAACATTCTGATACGAAGTTCAGTCATTGTAAACAACATCATAATAAATATATTTACTACTACCCCCGGTCCTAATTATAAGACCTAGTTTGAAAGTTTGAAATCTGAATTAAGAGAACATGTGACAACACGTTCAGAGTTAAGGCAGTTACAGCACCTGGACACACAATCTGAATTACATTCTAGCTATCCCATAACAATTTTCAGCAGTACGGTGGTCAGGACACACCTTAGGCAGTAATACCACGGAAGTAAATTAGTAAAATTTGGATTAATTTCAAATGGAAATTAGTAATTTTTCTTCACTTGCCTGATATAATTTGATGAACTAAATGTATCGGCTTTCAGCAAAGATAAAAGACTAGTATATTAGGAACTGGGGGGGGGGGGGGGAAGAAAAGAATTGCACATCATTTTGCGCGTCAAGAAATCCAGAAGTGGAACTGTGAAATCTAAACCAGCATAACAATAGAATTCTAAATTAGAGCTAAGGCGGCCTACAACAAGTAAAAGCCAGTAGAAATAGTATTGGTTCTATTATTCAAAGCAGAATTTGATTCAATCCATTCCTCAACAATCCCTTTGAAATTTTAAGTAAAAACGTGGGATGGAAGAAAAAGAAAGAACATTGAGAAAAATATATCACATAATTGAGAAGTGACAATTTCGTCGCACAAATATATGCACGATTCTCAGGAAAGCAGGGTGGCCAAATGATACATTTTTTGAAGGAGGAGGAAGGAAGATGAGTAAACAGAAACATGCAAACCATCTCATGAACAATCATCATTCCTAGGTCTCATCGTTCAACGAGGAACACTAGTACACAGACCAAGATGGACAAGAAACCAGCTATACACTTAAAGGGAACATAATGCATATGTAAGTAAATCTTAAAAGACCGATAAGGCAAAATGACTTTTCAATAGCACACTAACAACACCCAAATCGCTTCCTAAATCCTACCTCTTTCTCTTTACTGGAATTTAGTTTCAAGAGACAGCTCCAAAACGCCAATAACGTGAATCTTTTCACTGATTGACAAAACCAAAACAAGCATAGACCGTTTTACCTTGGATAAAGCGGGTCTAGACTGAACCTGATTCCCTTTGCTCAAAACATAAATAAAGAGAAGAACTACTACGCTGAACAATGCCCACCATAACACATCAGGAACCCTCCTTCTTACTGGCCTTCGAAAATCAGCCGCCCTTCGCCTCATACTTTAGCTATATGCAACTTCCCCGAGATTCCAAAATTTGGCTTCCAGTCGTTAATTCCCAGAAAAATAACGTTTGAGGGAAGTTTCTGATAGCCCAAGAGAGAATTGAGACGGGTATGCGGCGAGGGGTACACTCGGGATCTGTGAGGTCGCAAGTTTTAACGAAGATCTGCGGGAACTGAGTTCTTCAGATTTGGATCTCTGGGGTTAAAAGAATCAAGCTTTGCGTAATTCTTTGATTTCTTTCGGCGGGTTTGGGCCGGCGAAGAGCTTCGTGGCCACTAAGCAGAGAAATGATTTCTTGTGGAACAGAAAAAGAAGAGGACAGTTGGGATATAAGGAGTGGGGTTAAGCCATTGCCATTATGAATGTGATCGGGTAGGAGACGAAGTGCAATCCTTTTTATTGGCGATTTTCTTTCCGCTGATGTTGACTAACGGCTCCGATCGTGCCATGTCAGATGAAAAAGCTTATATTTGGGTCCGCCATTTCATTCATTAAGGTTTTAACTACAAGGACCCAAAAACCGATTATGCAGTGCAAAGTTTCGTCCTTTCTTTTTTTTTTTTTTGACCTGAACATAGCTTCGACTTGGAGCCGGTAATCCAGTATTATAAGGACTTCTGTGTTGTTACTTCATATCTGCAAGATCAAATCACTCAATTCTCCATATTTATAAGTTGCCATTTGATTTTTTTCGGCCAGCATTATAAGATGTAATTTGATACTCAGCGGTGAAACAATTCAGTTAGATCTACTAAAATTGATTGTATATTTTTTTGCTTGCCATCACAATTGATAGTATATTATAACTTAGATTGATTGTGATTTTTTATTTTAATTGGATGCAACTTATACAATCTAATCATATGAGTGGCGATCACAGAGAGGATGAAAATTTCTAACAGGATCTTTCCGAATTATGGTTCGCGCCATAAACATCATTAGAACACCTGAACACCGCCACATTTCAATTATAACATATTGAACGTTTAAAAATAGCTCAGATTTAAATACTTTGAGACTGGTTTGTCTAATCAAAAACCACTTTTTCGCTCCGGTCAAGTTACATTAATGTTGTTCTGTTCGAAAAGTTGGATGGGACATGCAAGGAGGAGTGACGCCACTGAGGACCCAGCTAGGGAAGATGTGGGGCACCCAATTGGAAAAAAGCACCGACAATGTAAAATCCTTAATTATTCCATACGGATATCATAAAACTTCTTTCTTAGTCTCTTCCGCCCGAATAACAGGCGTGTCTCCTCCTCGAATCCCAAATATCCATCAAATACAGGAATTTTAGGCGAGACGCCTAGCTCTTCACGCCATAACTTTGCGATGCGATCATAGGCATGAGCACTTGGACAAAGTCTGCGCTATTTTCTAAGCTTAGCAATCTATGTTTATTACAAATCACAGAACCACTCACCACAAGAAGAAATTAACTGGACATAAACTACTTTAAACACCGCAGGTACAAAAATTGCTTTTCAGGTTCACAACCTTCTGGATCTGAAACTCAACTATCGAGTTTTTCCTAATCTCTTTATATGGAAATAATACCATGATAGAAACAACCCTTCCTTTGGCTGCCAAACCTCTGGTACAAGATGGTTCCGGCTTCTTAGAAAGGCCTCCCGAATCCTCCCAAATGAAACAGAGAATGAAGAAAAGCCGACTCACTAATAAGAGGGATATTCACAAACGTACCGAGGAGGGCACACCTTATGCACTCCATCATTATTAGAACATAAGCCAATGCCACGCCAGCCCAGTAGTACATTCCAAATGTTCCATTGAAGTGTACTAGTGGCATGAAATTGCTTGAATACCATAGCACTTGCAGAGCAATTTCCAACAAGATTCCCATCATTACGTGGAATCTGAAGAGAAGTGGCCAGTCCTTATTTTTTACGACGACAACAACTGCCAAATAGCAATATATCATTGGAAACCAGCATGGCAGTCGATTGACAGCTCCTGGGATGTAATAAACCAAATCTTGAAAGCATTTAAAGTTTTCAATAAATGGCTGAATATAGAATCCGGTGTCGGACATCTTCAATGATATTAGATAGGGAATACAGGACAATGTCCTCCACCACCATTCTGGCTTTTCAGCTGTTGAAGGAATTCGGAAGCCGGAAGAGTGATATATGTAAGCTTGTCTGCATGTCATAGATTTGCGTCTTTGAGAGACCGTAGGGAGTGTAACTAATGGGCCAGCTTGACCTCCTTTAAACAGAGGAGATGAGACTGCAGTTATTTGAAGAAACGATTTCCCTGAAATCAAAGGTTCGGAGATTAGAAGAATCAGTAACAATTATTTAACAATGCACTGAAAGGATAACAGTCAATTTTGATAATGTGCTGTTTTATCTAATCAAACCAATAAAAGTAAGATCAAATCAAACCTTAAAGTCCTATGGTAAAAGAAGCTTAAGGTATACCTTTAACATTGCATGCAAAGCTGTGGCTATTTGGCTTTAGATCTTTATTCCTGGTCAAAAAACCAATTACAAGAAGATTATAACTACGCAGTACACACATGTTGGGAAAGCAAGGGAGAAAATTTTGCATAAATTGAAAACACTCATGCACACAAACCCATCCAAACAAATACTTCAGACAAAGAGGTACCTGAATGAAAGTATTATTATAATGTAATAGCCTACAAATATATCATAATGACTATAAAGAGCTCCTCAGTTCTGAAATATGTTGTGAAAATCTGAACATTGGAAAAGTCTTTGACACTACAATTTTCCAAAAGCTTCAAAAAACAATTTTATGCCATTTCCAGATCACTTCCAGCGGATCAATGTCACTACCCTTCTTTGTATCATTTACCATGATCAAATTATGCCTATTCTAGCAAAACCAACCATCATACATTGTCTACCACCAGTTATCAAGGCGTATTCTCAAAATAAGCATATCAATAATGCTCGCACTAGGTGTGTGGTTTGCTAATACTCGAACAAAATCCTGCTCAGTCAGCTAATTCCCCAGATTTTTGGGTCTGCCAAGGATAGAGGTTGAAAACAACCGCCCTGCTCGTAGAAATTGCAAGTCCCAAGCAAGGCATTTCACAAATAAGGAAGACAATGAGAGTGAACTTTTCACTTAATTTTTAAGGGAAAAATTTCAAGCAAGGACTGTTAGAATTATCCCTTCGTTTTAAGACTATTCTCCAGATGAAAGAATTTTCAAATTTCCCCTATAGTAGATCAATAGCCACTAAATTCCTTCACTATAAATATCAACACTGGAAACAGATTTGTCTAGACCCATGTAAACTAAACAAGAACCACCGATGAAACAAGACACAATGTGTCCTTGTTTCTTATTTGCACACCCAACACAACCCAACAAGAACATGATTTTCAAATGTAGTGCAAATAATCAACCTCCTATAGCGCTGCAAATAATACTGAGCTCTGTCAAATATTTAGTTAGTATTCAGAACCTCATGAACTACATCCTGCTCCTCATACCCATATGCAGCTCAGAGATGGCGTCCCCTTGCTTCTGAACTATAGGAGCAAGCTCTATGGATGATTGTCCTTATAATATATAATGTCTCAAAATCCTCATCATAATAATAGATCGTTTACAAGATGAAAAAAGAGTATAGAAAAACAAATTCTCATAAGCATGTTCGGTTTTGAGTTTTAGCGTCTTTGATTGAAGAGAAATGTTTATACACAACTATGCATACAAAAAAGATTTAATGATTATACAAGTTTCTACAAGAATAAAAAAATCTTGAAAATGGTTTTGAAATAAAGATTCAGATAAATCTAATTTGTTGGAGAGCAACAGAAATAAAAACTGGAAAACACTACAATCAACTAATATCCTAGTAATGTAACGTAAACAACCAATCATCAGCGTAATAATTTGTTTTCCTTGAAGAAAAGAAGCTGTTATATTTCTTATAGTAAAAAAAAAAAACTGCCATTTCTTAAATGCTCTGCCCAATGGTAATAGACTCCAATTTGAGGAACATCAGGGACAGCCAATAAGAATAATTCTTGGAATTGAAAAATATCATGCACAACAGCATCTAAGCTCCTAGGCCATCGTATAAATTTGTATGTTAAACATTAGAGCAGGACAAAGGAAAAGAAAAAAGAAGGCGAAATAACGAAGATCATAAGCAGAAAACGAGGATGGAGAAATGGAGGAGCGGTAAACAAACCTGACGGAATCGGACGGAAAAGTGCAGAGAAAAGGAGAAGGCGAAGCCCTTATGAGTGCAGGAGCCATACCCGATGAGAGAATGGTTTTTGGATCAAACTGGATTCGAAAACCTAAAAGTTGGACAGCTGCATCCTCTCTGACTTGCGCCTCAAACAAAGAGGGGGAGTGCCAAGAGGAAAAGGGAGCCAACGTCGCTTTATTTATAGATGTAAAGTATAATTCAGTGTCGCGGTGGAACGCTCCAGATCTCGGAGTTGAAGGATTCCTGCAGCCCTTGCCACAGTTTTAAATTTCTATAGAAAATTAATTATCCTTTTTAGTATACTTTTCATATTCTCAATATAAAATCTAATAAACTAATTTAAATAGATTAATAAATTTAAATAAATTAAAAATATTGATTGAATTAGTTAATATAATATATTTCTTCTAAAACATCTTAAGCATTTTTTTAATTCCCATCTTCTTTTTCCTGTTTAATTACTGTTAGGAAAATATCAATAAAGTTAATTTTTTTAAAAAAAATTAATAATTATATGAAATATCTTTCATATTTAAGACCAACATTAACTTTTAACCAGGTCTTATGTTTAAAAGCGGAAGAGTACGTGAAAGATAGTTGACAAAAAAGGTATGTATGAAAAATAAAATGATTTATGAGATGGTTCTAGGATTAATAACAAATACTCCTCCGGTCCTTAATATAAGACCCAATTATTGAGTTGGTTTTGGTCCTGAATATAAGACCCATTTATCATATTTATCAATTTTTTCTAAATTACCCCTGGAGGTACTCCCTCAACTATAATCAAGTAGAAGAGGGAGATGTGGTATTAAGAAAGATGATTATGATGTTTTAGGAAAAACGCATCACATTTCTTATAATTAACTAACTTACCTAACTTCCTTAATCTAATCAAATTAGTTAAATGGGTCTTATATTAAGAACCGGAGGAGTATGATTTAAGGTGAAACGATTTATCATTAAGTGACAATATCTTTTTCTTGTAATCAGACGAATGTTTTTGTGAGTAAAGTTTTCGAATGACTTTATTAACACCACCTAATATCCTTAATATAAGAGTTAGCTGACTAATTTAAGTAGATTAAGAAAATTAGTTAAGTTTATTATTTATTATAAATAAGTGTTGTCTTTCCTAAAGCATCCTTATTAATCAAATATATTAGTTAAAGCTACTATTATTATAAGTATTACCTTAAGAAAAATAAATAAATATAAAAAACAAAATAAATTGAGATATTTTATTTAAAATCAAAATAAAAACAAGCCGGTGGTAGTATTCCATAAAATAAAATGGATTATTTGTATCTGGCTAGTTCCATATGAGATTCAGTGATTAGTGCTGCTGCTCCTCCCAATCTGCCCTTATGTGTTTGTGAAATTCTTCTAATCCCTTGCAAATCACACGCTACATAATGTTAATAATGTACTCTTTATGCAAACTGATGAATCTTTATTATTTTCTTCCTTTTCAAATGCCTTTTTATGGTGCAAATGAAATCACGTTGGGATGGAGATTTTTTTTTTTTTGGTCAAAAGGTTGGGATGGAGATAGAACATGACTTTGATTCCTATGAATTTTTATAGATGAATCTCCGTCGGGACAATATACTGGGATGATGATCCTTTAAAAAAAAAAAAAAAGTTCTTCAAGAATGAGTTGTTCTAGCTAATATTTTAAAGAAGATCCGCATTTAAAACGAGATTTTAATCTTCCAAATTTACTCATAAAAGTATAAATCATTCGTTGCATTCATTTTGAGATTTCTACCCCAAAAAATTATTCGATAACCATCATTCAGTATAAATTAATCTAGATTATTATTTTTCCAAATGATTCTATCTTCGTCAAGGAATTTCCATCACCTCCTTAATAATTTGTCTTGAATCGTAAAAGTATAAAGAGATGTTTTTTATGTAATTTTTTTGCCTTCAGATATGTTTTTTTCCTAACATTATATGAAGTTTGAGGCTAATTATATTATTATACTTTACAAGTTATAATTGACCTTTTCATATAAATTTTATACTCGTATTATTTTTTGTTATCATATAAATTTTAGGAAAAATTTCACTGAAGGACCGCAGAACACAATTAATGTCAAAGAGCCTCCAAAACTTTTTGAAACCTCACTGCAGGACTAAAGGACCAAATTGAAATTAAAATTTAGAGTGAGATTACAATAATACTCCTCTCTTTTTATTTTATTAAAAAATAAATATTTATCGGAGTTACTGTTCCGGCCGGAACAGTAACTCTGGCGGGCCTCCGGTGGTCGGAATTTTTTTTGTTTAAAACAAGGTGGCCAAGGGAGGATTTGAACCCATGACCTCTTGGCACACCAAAAGATTTGCAACCACCAAGCCAAGCAACCCATTCAAAGATAAAATGCAAATAAAAATACATATAACAAAACAAACGCAACTGTTTGAGTGTAAATGAACAAGTGAAATTAGACGATTTACACGTGAAATTCAACAATTTACAACAAAAATTAGGTAATCTACGTATAACATAATAGAAGTCATAATCCCAAATGCAAGTGTTTAAGTACAAATGAACAAGTAAAATTTGAAGATTTACAATAAAAGTTTATGGATTCACAATCCAAATTTGGCAAACACAAGAGAATTCACAACCCAAAATGTAAATGTTTGAGTGTAAGTGAACAAGTGAAATTCGACGATTTACAAGTGGAATTCAGCAATTTACAACAAAAATTAGGCAATTTACAAATAACATAATTAAAGTCATAACCTCAAATATAAGTGTTTAAGTGCAAATGAACAAGTGAAATTTGAAGATTTACCACAAAAGTTTATGGATTAACAACCCCAATTTGGCAAATACAGGAGAATTCACAACCCAAAATGTAAGTGTTTGAGTGTAAGTGAACAAGTGAAATTCGACGATTTACAAGTGGAATTCAGAAATTTACAACAAAAATTAGGCGATCTACAAATAACATAATAGAAGTCATAATCCCAAATGCAAGTGTTTAAGTGCAAATGAGCAAGTGAAATTTGAAGATTTACAACAAAAGTTTATGGATTTACAAGTGAAATTCGACAATTTACAACAAAAATTAGGAAATTTACAAATAATATAATGGAACTCACAATCCTAAATACAAGTGTTTAAGTGTAAATGAGCAATGAAATTTGAAGATTTACAACAAAATTTTATAGATCTGTAGAAGAATTTCACTTGCTCATTTGCACTTAAACACTTTCATTTGAGGTTATGACTTCGATTATATTATTTGTAAATTGCCTAATTTTTGTTGTAAATTGCTGAATTCCATTAGTAAATCGTTGAATTTCACTTGTTCACTTACACTCAAACACTTACATGTTGGGTTGTGAATTCTTTTGCGTTTGTCAAATTTGGATTGTGAATCCATAAACTTTTATTGTAAATCTTCAAATTTCACTTGCTCATTTGCACTTAAACACTTGCATTTGGGATTATGACTTCTATTTTGTTATACGTAGATTACCTAATTTTTGTTGTAAATTATTGAATTTCACGTGTAAATCGTCTAATTTCACTTGTTCACTTACACTCAAATAGTTACATTTGTTTTGTTATATGTATTTTTATTTGCATCTTATGTTTGAATGGGTTGCTTGGCTTGGTGGTTGCAAACCTTTTGGTGTGTCAAGGGGTCATGGGTTCAAACCCTCCCTTGGCCACCTTGTTTTAAACAAAAAAAATTCCTGTCACCGGAGGCCGGCCGGAGCTGCTATTCCGGCCATCGGTGGCCGGACCCCCGGCAGCGGCCACCTAAGCGCCGGTGGCCAGACCTCCGACCTCTGGTGGCCGGAACAGTAACTCCGGTAAATGTTTATTTTTTAATAAAATAAAAAGATAGGGGTATTATTGTAATCTCACTCTAAATTTTAATTTCAATCTGGTCCCTTGGTCCTGCAGTGAGGTTTCAAAAAGTTTTGGGAGTTCTTTGACATTAATTGTGTTCTACAGTCTTTCAGTGAAATTCTCCCTAAATTTTATATTAATATACCATATTATTTTTTATGAGATTAATATAGCATATTGCTGGTCAAAAAATATATATATAGCATATTATACGGATGCTGGTACGTAAACGGGTTCAAAACAAATGCTTATGATTCTTAATATAAGACCTATTTAACTAATTTGATTATATTAAAGAAGTTAAGTAAGTCAGTTAATTATAAGAAATATAATATATTTTTCTTAAAACACTATAATAATTTTTCTTAATATCTCAATTCCGTCTTCTACTTAATAAAATATTTATAGAAGTAATTTAAAAAAAACTGATAAATATAAAAAATAGATCTTATATTTAAAATTAAAATTAAATTAACAATTAGATGAAAATATAAAATATTTTTTTAATGTTTAGTCGCCTGTGTACACTACAAAAAGGGGTTACGACCGAAGAGTATTAAATAAATTTTGGCGAGGATGCAGATTCGGATTCAGTCCGTACGATGCCTCCCGGGCTTCTCTGAAAGATCTGTGACGCGAACGTCCCATTGCCGTTGCCGTTCGTGTTGCAGTTTTATCCATCTCCTTCACGGTTGATCTGTGTCAACACCCCTCCTCTAATTCTCTCTCTCTCTCTCTCTCTCTCTCTGTGTATCTCTGTGTGTGTGTGTGTGTTTTAAATTTGACGGGGAAAAACCAGAAATTGGGCTGATGTCTTTGGAGGCACAGACATGGAAAGGTTAAAACCCCACGTGAATACCCGCCGATTCAATGTGCGCCTCTGTGACTAGCTTTATTTTCACAGCACAAATGGTTTGAAATAAGCTAAAGGTGTAGCGAGGCGAACGCGCGGTTTTTATCATTGAAGCATAACAGGAAAAATCGTTGAATTTCTTGGGTTGAGTCAAGCATTTGATTTATGGGGATTTATGAAGACAAAGTCTTGCCACTAATCTATTTAATTGGATGGGCATTTCCATTCAATTCATTTTTTCAGCTGAACAAAAGGCTATGAAGATGATTATGCTTCTTCAGTTGCCAGGTTTGCTTCTGAAACACTCATGATTGGAATTGCTGTAATATATTTCTGAGCCCTGATGTAAAAGGTGCGCATTTTTTACTCGTTATTGTTGTTGGCTATTATTTGTTGTCCAGCAACCATGTATACCCTGTGACTTTTTAATTACTGATCTAATTATCCAAAAAATCCTCTCTCTTTTTTTCCTGTTTCAGTTGTTGCGGAGCCAAGTCCCTGTTTTATAGGGAAAACCTGCTTGGGGATTGGTGAAGCTACATTCAAGAGATATCAGTGGATAGAACTAAAGCAGCAAAAACTATTATGTTTTTAAGGTGAAGTGTCTTTGCGATTTGCACCCAAGGGGATGATGAAGTTTTATTTTCCATGAATAGTTTCTGGTTAGTTTGCTATACTTTTGCGGTGATTTTATCTCCCATAAATATATCGAGGCAATAAAAAATGCTGTGTTTTTGTTAGGTCACGTACTTTCTAGTTATATGCCAGATATTCCCCTTTTCGTCTTAAAGATTCTAGTAAACTTGTTAATTATACGCAGTTATCTTCTTTGTGATGACTTCTCCTCTCCATTTCATAATGATATTTTACTGTTCCACCGCGATGTTACCGGATAACTTGCTTGAGGATATGGCGCACCTAAGTTCTGTGCAAGGCAGAATCGAGTTGGTGTTCCTATATTTTCAATGATATCAGATGTTTGATTCTAGCTTCTCATTTGTACAGTTTTACACTTATTTTGCCTACATGGCACGTTTTGCATTACTCATTTGGTATGATTAAGATAAGATTGTTGTGTTGATTCCTGAACTCTATGGTCTCTTTTTCCCGTTCGTTTTACTGTACTCTGTTTATGCAGGATTGCATGTTAACACCTCGGTTCGCTCTTCTAATTATGCTGATTTTTCTGAATTGTAATGAACCTGATTCATGAATTTGCAGTGATGGGGAGTTGCAATTTAGATTCATGTTTTGTCCGTTGCGACTTGCGACTACTTGGAAAATCCCAGTTCTGGCGGCGGCAGGATCCTTTATCATCATCATGTTGCTTGCCTGCCCAGGGCGTTCTGTTCAGTTGCCCCGCTATCAAGCCCCGTATAGAGCTCCGGCTAATGTCTTGATCCGTTAGAATCTAAAAGGAATTGAACACATAAGCACATGTACTTTATTTCTAAGTGAGATGGTTTCTTGATGAATTTTATTCTCTCAGTTTTTGGAGTTGAGAAAATCCCCAAGTAGTCTAATCTTTTTAAAAAAAGATTGGAATCGTGCTTTCTAAATGGCATGCCATATTTGATCCCCCTCAGCTTTCAAATACTCCTTTGGTCCTATTTATAAAGCACTTCTAACATATTTCACACAAACTAAAAAAAACTTTAAATTTCATTAACTCTCATTTAAAATTTAATGACTTTTCAACTTTATCTCTATTTAATATATATTATACTTCATATAAACAAAATCAACACAATAATAAATGAGGGGTAAAATTGTATATCCATACAAAAAATTTCTCTCAGTGTCCTATAAATAGGACAAAAAAAAATCTTTTTTCTCTGTCTTATAAATAAGACCAGTGGAGTACTTTGCATGCCACTTTTGGGCCTCTTGAAGTGTGCTTTTGTCCATGCATTGTCGCTTGCACGTCTCATACAATTAATGATTAATCTGTATAAAAATTCTGGTTGGCCCAAAAAATGATTAATCCCCATGGGAATTGGGTGGGATAAGAAGGCAAACCAGGTTTTCCTTTTTTTGGGCCGTCAAGGAGGCGAACCGATTTAAATGTTAGCAACGCGTGAGAAGGAAACCTCAGAAACATTGTCCCCGGGAATGGGAAACTCCTTGCAATGATCGGTTTATTACAAAATCTAACTCGCAGCCTATAATATGCCACTGAGAGGATTTTCCTAAACCTAAATCTTGTCCTAAACTCGTTTCGCCTATATTTTAAAATATTAAAAAAGCCATTTTTTAGTGTAAAAAAAAAAGTTTGGGTAAGTTGAGTCTTAGAGACTTATTAGAGTTTGTGCCTTCAAACTCAAAGAGCGTTTATAAAAATATTTACAAGTCGCTCACCAACAAAGTCATCACATCTGCAGTGAGATTCAAATTCATGACCTTATGGGTTGAGTTGGCTCTTTACTAACTATTTAAAAAAGACACTTTAAGTGCAGTACCTAATACTACTTCCAGTCCGTAATATAAGAGTTTGTTTGATTTTTATTTTGGTCCTAAATATAAAATCTCAATCCACTTTGTCACTTTTTTTTTAAAGATAGTCCTTATAATAATAGTAGTTCTAGTCAATACGCTTAATTAGTAAGGATATTTTAAGAGAGACAGCACATATTTATTATAAATAATTAATTTAACTAATTTTCTTAATCTACTCAATAACTAGTTAGTTCTTATATTAAGTACTGGAGGTAGTCTGTTCTAAGCAATGTCAATGATAACGTTGGGGGCCACCAAGCCCAACACCGCGCTACTCAATGGCATTGAGCAATGGCACAATCCACCTAAATCTAAGTTTGTGGCCAGTGATGTGGAAGCTGCATGATAAACTTTACAGGAGACAAACGTATAAGCATGAATTTTAAAAGTGATGTGGTGTAACCCAAGAACAAAAAACTAGACCAAAAACTAAACCGGTCGAGACAGTGGGTCAAGGGTCACTAGTCAAACCGGAAGTCGGACCGGAGTTGGACCAGCCATATTAAAATAATAAAATTTAATTCACAACATTAAAATAGAACAGAATTCCTAAATTTTACTTGATTATTGAAGGTTGTACACACATATCTCACTCTTAGCCTCACTCTCAAAAGTTTTTATGGCAGAGTCAAAATCGGAGATGTGTGTATAGCAGAGTCAAAACTAAGAGTCAAAACTTTTAACAATCGCTATAGCAGAGTCAAAACTTTTAACAATCGCACAAACTTTGATTATATATGTGTGTATAGCAGAGTCAAAACTTTTAACAATCGCACAAACTTTGATTATATATGTGTGTATAGCAGAGTCAAAACTTTTAACAATCGCACAAACTTTAATTATATATGTGTGTATAGCAGAGTCAAAATCGGAACAATCACACAAACACAAAGCATGACCAATGATTAATGAAGGAAAAACCGAAAAAGCAGAGGACATTCGAGTTCAACTATCTAAGTCTAATTGAAATACTGAATAAAAATGGCTAACAAGACAACAAGAGGCAAGAGCACAGAACTGACAGAAGCCACCACCTGCGACAACGACACTGATTCTGGTACCATGAAGAAGAAATGATGACGGGAGGTGACCACTTGTAGCTACGATGAGCAAATCTGATTGAACCAAGACGACCTCCTGCTTCGAGCTAGATGACATGATGAGAACTACGAAGAACCCGGACCTTCGACGATGAAGAAAACTTCGACACAATGAGAGTGGATTCAGCTAGGAATTTTTGATTTGGGAGAGGGAAGAAAAATGGCAAAAAGTTAAACTGAAGCTAGGGGTTGAGCAAAGGGAGCCTTGCCTTCAATTTGCTGGCTGTCAGAATTTTTTTCCCAATTAAACGACATCGTTTTGTGGAATTGGAGGTTTTAAAAAAAAAAAAAATATTGCAAACTAGACAACCCATCCAACCATCCCGTTGCCTGGTTTTGACTGGTTATTACCGGTCGAACCAGTTTAAAAACGGTTCAATTGAGCACCATTTTTTTTAGCAAACCAGACTGGACCAACTACCGGTTCACCGGTTTTACGATTAAATTGGCCAGTTCGGTCTGATTTTTTTTCCTTGGGTGTAACTCTTCTGAAGATGTTTTATATATTAACACTAACTTGAATTTAAGACCTTGTGTATAATTTTAGAAAATACAATATATATTTATTACAAATAAGTAATTGAACTAATTTTCTTAATCTACTCAAATTAGTCCGCTAATTTTTATATTGAGCACAATAGGCATTAGATTCTAAGCAATGTCAATGATAACGTTGGGGACCAGCGAGCCCAATACCGCGCTATTCAAGAGCGGTGAGCAGTGGCATAATCCACCTAAATCTTAAGTTTGTGGCCAGTGATGTGGAGGCTGGATGATAAACTTTACAGAAGACAAATGTGTAACTCTAAACGATGTTTTATATGTTAACACTAGCTTGAATTTAAGACCTTGTGTACAAGTGAACAAAATCTTTCCCACTAGGATCAAGCTTACTGGTTCAATACATATTGAATTTTATCTGGATCGATTTATTTGACTGCAGAATATATAAAGAATTTATAAAACAGAAGCTTGTGGTACACTTGTTTAATATTTTTTAAAATTTTGATACAATATAAAAGATTTAATCATTTTTTAAACTTTTTTCCCCGCAAGAATATTAGTGTTTCCAATATCTTTCTTTAATACTGGCTAGTTAATTTTAATTTTATAGCCACAAACGATAAATTATTCTTCTATTAGCTTTCACACTTTTAAGGAAAGGAAAGGAATGCCGACAGAGGTGGTCCATGCCTATCTGGCTCCAGACCAGATGAATGATGGCGATCATTTCCTTTTCCCAGTAGTTCTGCACAAATAAATAACAACCAAAAAAAAAAAAAAGCGCATAGACAAAATGACAAAAACAGGAATAAATTAACTTATTATCTTAATTAATTATAAAAACATATAATAACATGGTTAATCAACTTGTGATCAGAGGTTCGCAGCTACAATTATGTTTAAAAGACGTTACGTTTACACTGAAATAGACGTACAATACTGTCCATTGAACTTCGTGAAAGATCCTTAACAGGTGGAATTATCAGAGGGATTAATCCAAGTCTATGGTCAACTCTATTTTAATTCAAGAAATTTTTTATATAATATCAAATCGAGCTTAACATTTCACTTGCAGATCCACGCAGCGTTGCATATTGTCAATGAGGCTGGTCATGTGAGTTGTCATATTTTAATTGGTGGACTACACATAAGGTAATGCTCAACGTTTTAATGATTGCCACGTATCATAATGATAATTTAATGGTTAATTTACTCGAGGTGGCAGCGTCCAAGTGTAAGCCAGACGGAGACGGAGCAGGTGAAAGTAGCCATGAATTTCAGAAGCGGGACAGACTTGGCCTGACCCTGAAGCTTGAAGCTCCTTCTTCAGCTCTCAAGCTCAGAGCTTTCCCGGCTCTTTGGAAACCCATCTCTTTGGTTTCAAATGACGATAGGCTCCATCTTCAGCAAAGCTGCCAGGACTTTCCATACCTACCCTTCTCCTTCTAAGCTTCTCCTCATCTGCACTCTCAGGTATTGTATCTCTCCATGAATCTGTTTGTTTATTTTTCATTTGTATCAGATTCTTCCCCTTTCCTTTTTCCCCGCTTTTCTAAGATTCATTGCTTGACGTCCTCTTAGCTTTAACGGGATTCATTTAAGGGATCTCAAGAGCAACGGCCCGAGCGCAATGCTCATTGTCGATAATGTTTATGAAGAATCTGAAGGAGAGGGAATTTTCATGCCATTTTTTTTTTAAATTTGGGTTTAACTTGATATTTTAAGTTTGTGGGGTTCAAATCCTATCGTCTTCTGCAAACAAGTTGAAATGGAAAGTTGCACCCGGTTCATATTATGAATGACGCAGAGAAATTTTGAGATCTTGGTTCTTACAGGCCTTGTAAATATAATGGGAACAACACTGAAAAGCACTAGAATGTTTTGTTTACTGAGGCTGAATCTGATTTGACCTTAAACATTTGTGTGATGATTTTTTTTTTTTGCTTACATATATGGCAAAAAATTTATTTTTCTGCGGCGGAAAAATTTTCCCGGGCAAGATTTTGGATAATGTAGTGTATATTTACAAATCTGCCATATGTCTTGGAAGAGGCTTGATTGGAAATTTGGGTATTATTTGATATTATTGGACATCTCCATGGGATCTGATCTTCTCCAGGGAACTTATATCTGGAGCCTTTTACTTTATGATTATCATTCCTACAAGGAGATTCTCATACAGAAACAGACCTCTAACAAAAGCTCAAACAAGAGGGTACCTGTGTGAATATTTCGATTAGCTCTTTGACGTCCTTTCAGATAAAAGAGTTGTGGTCTGTTTGTGGGCATATCCCCCAATGTCTTTATCCTTCTTGCCCACGGTATTATCTAGGAAGACTACAGGTAACCAATTTTCTGTTTGACTGAGTCTCCCTGCCTGTGAAAACTGCAGTGGTGGAGGTGTGGTGGCATACTCAGAATTACAATCTGATTCTGGACCTCCAAGAATTGAATCTAATGAGCCAAGGAAAAGAGGGTAGTGGTTCTTGGAACAGGATGGGCTGGTACCAGTTTCCTTAAGGATCTGGATGCTTCAATATATGATGTTCAGGTTGTTTCCCTCGCAACTACTTTGCATTCACTCCCTTATTACCCAGTGTCACTTGTGGGACAGTTGAAGCGAGGAGCATTGTGGAGCCAGTTCGAAACATCATAAAAAAGGTAGGGGAAACAGAATTAGAGCTCCAAGAGTGACTATGTATTGATGCTGTTTTATTTGACTATATTTGTCACATGTGTGTGTAATTCTGTTGAAATCTAGCAGTCCAGGCTTTTTGTCTGGGGTAATGTAATGACTTTGTTGTGTTCCAAGATTGTTGTTTACTACTCTCTGGTCAGTTTTGAAACTCTTTTCTAGCATTCTTTTTTAGACAATTAATATGGAAGTTCTTTTGTTTCTTCCTGCATGCAGAGAAAAGGAGAAATTAAATTTTGGGAGGCAGAGTGTGTCAAGATTGATGCTGCAAACAAAAAGTTTTTTGTCGATCCAATATTGATGCCAACTTAGCGGGAAGTGGGAATTTTCTCTGGAATATGACTTTTTGGTTGTAGCAGCTGGAGCACAAGCGAATACGTTTAATACCCCAGGTGTCAAGGAGAACTGTCATTTTTTAAAGGTAAATTTCCATCACTTTCACATGCACCTTTACCATATCGGTGTGTAATCATGTAATGGTTCAAAACTGCCATGCTTATGAATGATTTTCGGTTTATCAGGTGATTGTTTAATATCTTTGAACAGCATTATGAGAAGGATTTTTTCTGAAGACTTTTGATAGTAAATTTGTATCTCAGCTGACCACTAATTAAATATGTACTATATCATCACCACAGGAGGTGGAGGATGCTCAAAGGATCAGAACGTCTGTGATAGATTGCTTTGAGAAGGCCATTCTTCCTAGTTTAACTGAGGAAGAGCGACGAACAAATCTTCATTTTGTAATTGTTGGGGGTGGTCCAACTGGTGTGGAATTTGCTGCTGAGCTTCATGATTATGTCCATGAAGATCTATCTAAATTATACCCAATGACTAAAGATATGGTGAAAATAACAATGATCCAATCGGGAGATCACATCTTGAACACGTAAGGAATGCTTTAATTGCCTCTCTGATTTCTTATACTTTTGATTGGTGTAATGGTATAATACTTTTAATGGAAACCCAAAAAGATATTAGCTTTTATGACCTGTTTGACCATCCTTACAGTGTTTTGCTTCATCATCATAAATTACCTACATGATTTGCCCGACTTGATTTATCTATGCTTTCCATTTGAAGAGCACTGACATGATGGTTGCTTTTCTGTACCTTATTGTTGTGATGGCATCAGCTAAAAAAATTGTATTAGTTGATGGAATCTTGTAAGCGTTGGATTGTTACCGTTTGTCTGAAACACAATTTTGGACTCTTCCTGTTAATCGTGTATTCTACTGACTTTGCAGGAATCATTAGTCAGTAGAAATTGCCGTTGTCATGAGTTTGTATTAATGTGTTTGCAAACTAAGATTAATCATTGGAAAAGTCTGACTAACTAAAAGTTCTATTTTCTCCCCAAAACATTGGCTATGAAAGGACATAACGCCAATATACCCTTCTTCTTTTTGTAGGTTTGATGAAAGAATCAGTGCATTTGCTGAGCAGAAATTCAGGAGAGATGGTATAGAAGTTCAAACAGGACGCCGAGTTATCAATGTTACTGACAAGGAAATTAAAATGAAGATAAAATCTACTGGAGAGGTTTGCTCAATACCTCATGGATTGGTAGTCTGGTCCACTGGCATTGGGACTCTTCCAGTTGTGCGGGATTTCATGAAACAAATTAATCAGGTGTTAGTATTTTCCTTCTTGGTCAATATCTAACGTTACACAATTCCATGCATTTCTGATAGACAGTCCCCACTCTCTTTTCCTTACTCACTCACTCTCTCTTATGGTTGAAACTGTCTCTTTTGTGTTCTTCAACAATTTTCCATTTAAACCATTGTATACTAAATGGACTTCAAATTCTCTCTTGTATTAAAATCTGTTATATAATCTGTAGTAGATTTCTTTATGTGCAGGCTAATAGAAAGGTCCTGCAGACTGATGAATGGTTACGTGTGATAGGATGTGAAGCTGTGTACGCTATTGGGGACTGTGCTTCAATACATCAACGTAAAATCATGGTATTCTTTAATACTTTAACATTTTCAATTCAGCTTCAGAACTGGGTTTATAATATGTAGAACTTGATTCTACGTCCTCAACCAGATATTAAGGATTGGGACAACTTCATCTGGGATTAGGCAGACTATCAAACTCGTGGTGCATTTATGCCTGTTATTGGGGTTTTTCTTACGTTTTGGAGAAAGCTTTTCCTTCTTGTGTATTCCTGTAACAATCACTGGGTGAAACATGACAAAACACTGCAACTCTCTTCTTGAGTCAGAAATTGAGTAAAATAAGATAACTTATTTGGATAGTAAAAAGTGATTGGATTTTGCTCTCTCTATTTTTAGGATGACATCTCAACCATATTCAAAGCTGCGGACAAGGACAACTCTGGCACCTTAACAATTAAAGAATTCAAGGATTTAATGGATGACATCATCTTGAGATATCCCCAAGTGGAACTGTATCTGAAGAGCAAGCATATGCTTGATGTGGCTGATCTGTGGAAAGATCCTCAGGGGAATGAGAGAGAAGCAATAGACATAGAAGGGTTTAAGTCAGCCCTTGGTCATGTGGATTCGCAGATGAAGAGTCTGCCAGCAACAGCACAGGTATGCATCATTTTATCTATGACTAGACAATTGTATCTGCAGAATTTTTTTTGCCTTCAAACATAAGAATTGAGAACTAAGGCTTCTGATTTGATGTTTAGGTTGCTGCCCAACAAGGTGCATATCTAGCTGCCTGCTTTAACCGCATGGAGCAATGCACTGCGATTCCTGAAGGTCCAATGAGATTTAGAGAATCCGGACGCCATAAGTTTCGTCCCTTCAGGTAATCCATATAACATGACACTTTAATCTCTTAGTCTGATTTTTCTTTTCTTTCTAGGAGTAAAAAAATCTCTTAGTCAGATTTTTCTTTGCTTTCTAGGAGTAAAAAATTAATTGTAGTCTGTCTGATCTGTCTAGCATACCCTGCTAGATATATTTTAGTATCTTTATTGTTAGCCATGTCAATATTAGTATCCAGGTGATACGCTTCACTAGCTAGCCAATAAGCACATTCAATTCTCTGTTGTGCTCAAACAAAACCAACCGGTTATTCTCGACAAACATAATTGTCTGTAAAAGAAGAAGAACCAAGATGCTTGTAAAAAACACATTTCTGGGTATTTCTTATACTCTTTTGGTTTCATTTATAAGGCACTTCCAGCATGTTTTGCACAAATTAAGAAAAATCTTAAATTGCATTAACTCTTCATTAAAATATAATAATTTTTTCAACTTTACCCCCATTTAATATATGTATTTTTTAAAAAAAAACTATTTATATTATAATAAATGAAGGACAAAATAGTATATTTATGCTAAAAATTTAATGAAGTAACTTGTAAGTAGGACCAAGAAAAGTCTTTTCTCTCTGCTTTATAAATAGGATACATGCTTAACAAACATATACTTATGGTGTGACCAAGGGCAGAACACAACCATTTGTAGGGTACATGAAGTACAGAATAGCAAACGAGGAAAATATTATTTTCATGTCTTTTCCATGCGTTTTCACTACATAAGCAGCGGTTTTGCTTGCGATGCAAAGGTACAAGCATTTTGGTCAATTTGCTCCTCTTGGCGGAGAGCAGGCAGCAGCAGAACTTCCTGGAGACTGGGTTTCAATGGGTCACAGCACTCAATGGCTTTGGTACTCTGTATATGCGAGGTAATTTATCAGCCCGAGTGCTCAAGAAATTCTTGTGGATTTTACAGGAAATCGATAGACGGATCAATTGTGAATACCTCATTAGGTTCCACTTTTCAGTTGATCCTTTATATTTATAAGTTATTTGTAAACTGAGTCCATTAATGAGATTCTCTTCAAAGTGCCTTCCCCTATTACTAACTTATGTGCTTCCTTACTCGTTTGGTGTGCTGTAATATTCAGCAAGCAAGTGAGCTGGCGCACAAGGGTACTGGTGATATCTGATTGGACAAGAAGATTCATCTTTGGAAGAGATTCAAGTCGTATCTGAGTCAACAACTTAACGAGCTCCGTGATCTTTTAAGGTGCTCTGTATCTTTGTGTTTGAGAGTACCTGTTGACCTGCATATGTCATGCTGTAATCAAGGCATTTAAAACGCAGAAGCTACAATTTTTTTTTTTGGCGCTCCTATCCTTTATTTATTACTCACAGTATGAGAATGTAATTCAATGCTTTGATGCCTCTCCCCCTCTATTGCTGTTTGTTATTATATTGCTCCTATGATTCTTGACTTGTGATCACCCGTCCAAAATATCAATAGGGTAATAATCATATGGGTAAAGGTGCAAATTTAACTCTGATTTGATATTCTTTTTTTAAGCGCACTTTTACTCCTAATCACATTGAGACTAAAACTTTTATTTACGGTTTAAAAAATGTTTAAATGACTTGGCATTTCCATTACTTTGAATTATCGTGATTATTTCCTTATCTGTTAACCGTGAGTTTGAAAATTGTACTACCTTAATGACGATGTTGGCGAAAAGAAAAAAGAAAAACTAATAGTGACAAAATTGGAAGTACTTCGTTAATTAACAACTTAATAATAATAATGCTAAATAGTAAATACAATACGCTTTTGTGAATTAATTGGATTTTAAAAGAATATTTCTGCGCACACGCCCATTGGACCAATGTGATTGATAGTTCCCACGAAACAAGAATGCTCGCACGAAGAGCAAAATCCGCTTCAGTTGAATCACTCAAGCGCTGCCGACCCCTATGGTTCAGCGAATTCTGAACGCGTCTTATTGTTCAACCTTTGACAAGTCAAATAAAAAACAACACGCATCATCACATTTCAACTTCATATTTCACGTACCCTGCAATTCTGTTACTCTTCCTTTCCTGCAACTCTCAGATTTACTCCTGCACTACTGTCCGCAAAACAAATAAGCTACCTTTCGCAATGCGTTGGTCTTCTTTCTACCAGACAGCCTCAAGGGCTTTTCATCAGTCTCCTTCCTGGTCCAAGGTTCTTGTCCTCTGCACTGTCAGGTCTTCATCATCCATCCTCAAAGCTTACGTTTTTATAGCACATTATAAACTAATTCAAATCCCCCATTGTCTTTTTAAATAGTGGGTTTTAATTAGTTTTCTGGTCCGAGTTGTAGTGGGGGAGGTTTAGTGGCATATGCTGATGCAGGAGCAGTTCAGAGTGAGAATGGTGGGGATAAATGCCGGAAGAAGAAGGTGGTGGTAGTGGGAACAGGATGGGCTGGGACCAGTTTTGTGAAGAACTTTAAAAGCTCTTCGTTTGATGTGGAAGTAGTTTCACCTCGTAACTATTTTGCATTTACACCTTTGCTTCCAAGTGTCACTATCGGCACTGTGGAATCAAGAAGCATTGTTGAACCTATTCGCAAAATCATCAACAAGGTGCTCTCTTATATACTCATCATCAACATGCTCACTTTTCTTTGTTAGTTTGCTTTTCGTAATCCATCGGACGTTTATGTTTTGTGTTGAACAGTTTCCCCCTACGGTTCCCCCCCCCCCCCGCCCCAGAACACCCCCCCAAAAAAAAATGCTGATTTGTTTAGAATTTCTAGAGAAATAATGTTTCATATGTCCTCGAGAGATGTGGATTTTAGTATTAACCACTGTTCATGATTTAAGTTTTTCGAAGTTTTTGTTTAAATTTGTAAAATTTTTGATTTTATCTACTGCTGTGTGTGTGTAAATTATTGGAGACACTATTTGTAGACCATAATATATACAAGGCATGGGTCTACATACGATATGATTCAGTCAAAAAGTGGTGTTGGCCTTTTGTTCCCGTGGTCTCTCTCTGAACTTGGTCTGAACGTTTAGAAATTAGAATTGTGGTGAAAAATATAGAAAAATATTTAACCCTTTGAATTTAATCAAAAATAAATAGTTGAAGAGGAGAGAAATCATCGCCTGATGGGTGATGGCAAACAAAACTAAAATTTTTACAATAGGAAAGTCATAGTTACTTGAACGTTTGTTTGTTACTACGAATGATATATGAGTAGACTTAAGTTGCAAAATCATATTTATCTTCCCCAATTGAATTTTCTTACTATTATTTGGATTCGTTTTGAGATTTTCAATACATTATTTTGAAATATTAAAAATGAGAATCATTTAGTGTATTGGCACATTATTCACGATAATCGTTTGTCATTCAAAAAGAAAAAAGGGAAAGCTTTTGATTCTGCAGAATCAAAAAAGTTTTTGAATCAGTTTCAGGTCTTCTTATCCTAGAAAGCATCTATAACTATTATTAAATTATGTTCGACGATCTGTTAATCTTCATGCGACTGAAATATTGGCATGTTGCAGCAGAAGAACGTAAACATTCAATTCACACAAGCTGAATGCTATAAGATCGATGCCAAGAATCGAAAAGTGTACTGTCGTTCTACTGCTCAAGACAGCGAAAATGGCAAACAAGAGTTTTCCATTGATTATGACTACCTCGTTCTAGCCATGGGAGCCCGTTCTAACACTTTCAACACCCCAGGTGTTGAAGAGCATACTCACTTCTTGAAGGTATTATATTCTCAATTTCTGTATCAGCGGCTGTGTTAATGTGTCATCATAAACTTCGTACTTCTCTTTATCTGTACACAAAATAACGTAACTTGCTAGAGTACTATGAATGTTTTTAAAGGAAGTGGAAGATGCTCAGACAATCCGTCGGAAAGTGATTGAACTTTTCGAAAAGGCAAGCCTGCCATGTGTATCTGAAGAGGAGAAGAAGAAACTTCTGCATTTTGTGGTAGTTGGCGGTGGTCCGACTGGTGTAGAGTTTGCTGCAGAGCTTCATGATCATGTTCATCAGGATTTATACAAACTATATCCTTCTGCCAAAGACTACCTACAGATTACACTTTTGGAAGCAGGCGATCATATTCTAAACATGTAGTGTATATATTCTTATTCCTCAACCTTTGCCTTTCGGGATTTTTGGGTTAGTTTCTCCACTGTGTGTTTAATTGGTTGCAGGTTTGACAAGAGGATTACTGAGTTTGCTGAAGAAAAGTTCAAAAGAGATGGGATCGATGTGAAACTAGGTTCTATGGTTATAAAAGTGGCTGAGAACGAAATCAATACAAAAGAAAGAGGAACTGGTAAGGTTGCATCTATACCTTACGGAATGGTGGTTTGGTCAACTGGTATTGGTCCTCGTCCTGAAGTTGTTCAGTTTATGAAAGATATTGGTCAGGTTTGTTTCTATGTATTCCTTTCAATCTCTCAAGGGTTGAGCTTCAAAGTCAGCAGTATAGCAAGTTTTCGATTATCTGGTTTAAATTCTCACTGTGACAGGGTAATAGGCGAGCAATTAGCACTGATGAATGGTTAAGAGTGGAAGGAGTTGAAAACATCTATGCGCTGGGAGATTGTGCTACTGTAAATCAACGTAGAGTTATGGTATGTGTCCCTTAATCTAATCTAATACACGTCAAGATCTTCTGATATTTAAGAATACCAGTTCAAAGTCAATATATATAGATATATATTAGTAAATGAAGTAAGATGGAGAATGGAAATAGTGTGTGGGCGTGTGTAATGGAGTGTTAGCCCAATAAATTTTGATTCTTCACCTTTTGAAGTGTTGGTACAAAGAATGAATTCTTAATGGCTATCCCTTGGGCTGGCATGGTTTTGATTAGGAAGATATAGCAGTGATATTTAGCAAGGCAGACAAGAACAACATTGGGAAATTAGATCTGGATCATTTTCAAGAGGTTGTAGGAGACATTATTGAGAGGTACCCACAAGTGGATATTTACCTAAAGAAGAAGCAAATGAGGAACATAGTGGCACACTACTGAAGAACTCTCAAGAAAACGGTACTCTAGTGGACATTGAAACATTCAAATCTTGTCTTTCCGAAGTAGACTCCCAAATGAAAATCTTCCTGCAACAGCTCAGGTATATAACATATATATATATATCACACACACTACTCCTTGAATTTATTACATTTGTGACCTAACGTTTTTTTGTTTGGGGATTGCTTATAGGTAGCTGCTCAACAAGGTGAGTATCTTGCAGACTGTTTCAATCGAATGGAAGAGTGTGAGAAATATCCTGAAGGACCCCTGAGGTTTAGAGGAACAGGACGTCATCGTTTTCGTCCCTTCAGGTATTTTCTTTCTCTGCGTTAGCATTTTTCTTGTGTTTCATAATCTAAATGATAAGGTAATTACAAGGTACAAGCATTTCGGGCAATTTGCTCCGTTAGGAGGAGAACAAGCAGCAGCTCAGCTTCCAGGAGACTGGGTTTCAATCGGACACAGCACCCAGTGGCTCTGGTATTCTGTATATGCAAGGTAACATGACATTATGACAACCTTTTTAAGAAACCATAATGACGATGTTGTTGTGGTTTCAAGTGTGCTTTATGTCTTACTTTAATGGCTTCCTAAATTTGCAGCAAACAAGTGAGCTGGCGTACCCGGTATTTAGTGGTGGCAGATTGGGGACGACGCGTCATATTCGGCAGGGACTCAAGTGGAATATAAATGACCTCTCGCTTTTACTCACCAAATCTCTGCTACAAGGCCACAACCATATTTAAATTAAGGACCACCACAACAGAAACCGGGCTTCGAATTTGGACACTTATTCGTGACCCAGAAAAAATTGCAGTATAAATGTTTTTCTCTTCTACAATTTTTTAATATTTTCATACTGCTAAAGTTCTCCTTCAACAATGTTAACTTTATATTCCTTTCTCGCTTTATGTCAATAGTTGAAATCATTACTTTTACCGGAAAATTCAATGCTATCTTTCAGGGGTTTGTTCTCAGTTGATGAAGCAAGATTCTAAGACCTCTCGCTTTTACTCAACCAAATCTCTGCTACAAGGCCACAACCATATTTAAATTAAGGACCACCACAACAGAAACCGGGCCTTCGAATTTGGATACTTATTCGTGACCCAGAAAAAATTGCAGTATAAATGTTTTTCTTCTACAATTTTTTAATATTTCATACTGCTAAAGTTCTCCTTCAACAATGTTAACTTTATATTCCTTTCTCGCTTTATGTCAATAGTTGAAATCATTACTTTTACCGGAAAATTCAATGCTATCTTTCAGGGGTTTGTTCTCAGGTTGATGAAGCAAGATTCTAAGAAAATAGTTGTTAGGTTCATCATCGAGAGCTTGAACAAAATAATCAAGGCACTGACATACCATAGAACAGAAACCGTGATGTCTCCAACAGGTAGGATGAAAACGGCCCTTAAATTTAGACAGCTTAGGTATAGTGATTTACAAGTTTATTTTGTCATTAAATACAGATCTTTCAAGAAAAAAGAACATCCAATTGAAGCTACGAGAAAATGATGAGACCAAAAAGAGAGAACATGGAGGAAGAAACCAACCCATTCATCTATTACTCCTTCTGCAACTATTCGTGGACCTGTCTCCTCAGGTGGCTTCTTTCGCGCCTCCAATGCAGCCTCAGCCTCAGCTAATTGTCGTTTAAGTTTATCCAAGGCCTTCAAGAAACAGTATATGACATTACATTTTTGCAAAATGAGATGGCGAAGGTCGTACATAAATTTGAAATGTATAAATCTTACAGGGCTAGGACGTTCAGGATCCAAAAATACAACCCGCAGAATTTGCTCTACTGCAACTTGATCCCTTTGTTCGTCAAACTGCACACGAAAGATCATATGACAACTTTATTGGCATCTGAAAACATTTGACATCAATTGCTGCATTTAAACTCGATACACATGTTCTCCCCCTAACCAACCAAGCTACTCTCTATGCCTAATGTTCAGGCAGATATTTGAAATATAATTTGACTTTGCATATTCTTGCATTGATATGCCTAAAAATCACAAGTCATATATGTTCTGACTATGAATTGATTAAGGATATGATCTTGAGAACAAGGTCACATTTGATAAATAGTTGCAGCTCAAGACCCTGAGGATGAATAATGTGATACGCACAGTTCATACAGAATGGGTCTTTTAACTTGACCAAAGTGTCCAAATAATGCTAGCAATAAAGGGTTTATGAAAATTTAGACTTTGAGGTATGTTCCATTGTTCCCTGTAAAAAGGACGCAAATAACTAACTTCTGCTGCAAATGTGATTCTAAGATAATAAAAACAATCATACAGACTCCACTCAATAGAGAAACAGGAACTTGAAGTTCAATTTAAGCTCACATTGATAAGGAGGCATGGAACTACAAAGATTGAAGCCATGTCCAATGGAAAAGATTAGTAATACATTACCAGTTCTGGTACATAGTCCATTTCGCCTTTCACTTTTAAGCTGATAATTTTAAACTTAACCTTGCTCTTTTGATCAATTGGCTTCTCGTTGTTCTCGGGTGGCTCAACAAACTTGAATACTGCAAAATAAGTGTCACTATTTTAGGAAGACCAGCCAACTTCTGAGTTCTGAGCATCAAATCATATTGGTTAATACAAATTTAGAAGAATAATTTACCAGTGGCAATTATGCTTTCATCAGGTGCGAGTATACCACCTGGGGGGCGCATAAAACAACTCTTGGGTGCAGTGGTTTGAAACTAAGACAATTCAATATGTCAGTTACCAATAAATCGCAATCCTAAAAGTGAGTAGTACTTAAACGGATGGTAAAAAAGGCATGGAAAAAAAATTAACCAATAATCACCTAGTTATCTCAATATTTTGAACCTCATAAAAACTTGACAAAAAATGTATGAAGCCAGGTGTTTCTGAAATATTTCCAAAGTTCTAGAGAATCGCTTAATCAGTCTCGTCACAGTTACTGACGCACTCCAGCTAGGAAGCTTCAATTTACCTATAGTGCCGTTTTTTCAGTGGAAATACAGCCAAAAGTTTCCCGACGCAGTATTGAAAGTGGGAGCCGGCAAACTTTCCAATATGACGGGTTTTTGATTTGCCATATGTATAACATGGCAGGATCACCTTATCTCTCAAATATCAATTCTGAAAATAAGAAAAAAAGAACAAACAACAACTAGAAACATGCTCCTCACCTTGAAAGCCACACGAGATTTGCTAGTGTTTTTTATTTCGATAGCGCTCCTAACTTGCTTTCCCGGCTCATCTTGAAAAACGGAGTCACATTATATGAGATAGAGCGCAAATCTTAGAATTACTGAGAACTGGAATCGTTATCAAGCTTAAGCAAAAATACAACATTCTTGTTTCTGTTCGTGGTAACTGAACATACTACCAAAAAATTCCACAAAACTCCGAAAATTGATTCCCAAAAGTTATGCAAGGAGGAATCGTGAGAGACTTACAGGGTAAGTAGAGCTTGTTGGGAGGATCAAGACGTAGCCTCTTCCTTGTAGGGAGTAGTGACTTGGCCATGGAGGAAACCGTACTGGAAGATTGATGTTGAGTCGATCTATCACCGGACTGAAGATTAACGTTCTGTTGATGATGAGCATAATGCATAGAGGAAGTGGAGGAAGCAGCAGAAGAAGCATGGCTCGTTTGCCAAAACGGCATTCTACAGAGATTCCAAACCTTCCCATCAGACCCCATTTTCTCGCTTTCCAATGCCATTCTTCACCAGAAACCCACTCGCCTCACCTCAATCTGTAAGTTCCGGCAACTGGGTCTCCGAATGGCGAACAAAAGTTCGAGACTTTCGTATTTTCGTGAAGAAAGATTTGGTAGTTCTATCAGATATATCTATATCCTTCCATTTGTGCTGTTTCTGTCTGAGAAAGACCTTTTGACGTGATAGCCAGAGCAATTCAAAGATTAAATATGACCTTACATTCTATTTGATTCACTCAGATAGTGGTTCTGACAGAGTGGAATTTACTGAAGAATATGGATCTAAATCTTGGGAATTACCCTGATTAGAATTGTGAATTTGAGGTCCGACTGTTTATGGGTTCCCGGGCTGGTTTTTTTTTTTTTTTTCACAGTTGGTTAGATCCTCCCTCATCACTGCAATCATTTGTTGCACCTTTTTCTTATGATTTCTCATATGGCCATATTCCAACATACTACTGACATGGCAGGTTAAATAGTCATAAATGATTCTATTATTAGAGTCATTTTGATGATTATATATCCATTATTGGGTTCATCTTGTGCCAAGTATGTATTAGAAAATTAGTGAATTATTGCACAATTTGCAGTATTTAATCTTCAAAAGCACCGAACAATGGATTTTTTGTTTGTTTCCTGTTTGCTAATACTATTTAGGAATCTGTACCACGTCACCCAGTCGGTGTTCATCTGCTTCATTGTTTGTTCAGCAACCCCAGAAAATTATTTTTTTCATGGTTTTATTGAGGAAAAAAAATAATAAAAATACCCTCAAAAATACTAAATTACAGATGAGGGTAAGTGAATTTAAAAATCTCAGTTCAAACTCCAAATACTATTTTAGAATTTTCAAATCTTATAAATTACACAAATGCCCTTTACTATCTTTTTTAAATACTGCCAACTTAGCACATTCGGTCGCTGGAGTTCCGACGCCTGCGACCCTTGCTGGTGGCTAGTAGTCGGAGCTCCAATGATCAGTTGCCGGAGCTCTGGTAATTATTCTTTCTTTATGTATTGACTAATCCTTTTTTAGTTATTGACTAAATTTATTTTCAAAATTCTGATGACTACTCTTATTTAGCTACTGACTATTTTAGTATTGCAATTGACTACTTTCATTTTTAAAATTTTGGTGACAACTCTTATTTAGCTATTGATTACTATAGTTTGGTTATTGAGTACTTTTGTTTCAAAAATTTAAAAAATACATTAAGTGTTGTTGGAGATCTCTTGACTACTTTTTGTTTAGTTATTTACTACTATTTGTTAGTCAATAGCTATACAAAAGTAGTAATTAGAAATTTAAAATAAAAGTAGTTAATAGTTAAATTAGAATAGTTAATAGCTATATAAAAGTAGTCATTGAGAGTAAAGACAGTATTATTATTTCACAAGATTTTAAAATTTCAAATACTGCCAACTTAGCACATTCGGTCCTTGGAGTTCCGACTCCTGCGACCCTGCTGGTGGCCAGTAGCTGGAGCTCCAATGATCAGTTGCCGGAGCTCTGGTAATTATTCTTTCTTATGTATTAACTAATCCTTTTTAGTTATTGACTAAATTTATTTTCAAAATTCTGATGACTACTCTTATTTAGTTACTGACTATTTTAGTATTGCAATTGACTACTTTCATTTTTAAAATTTTGGTGACAACTCTTATTTAGCTATTGATTACTATAATTTCGTTTTGAGTACTTTTGTTTCAAAAATTTAAAAAATACATTAAGTGTTGTTAGAGATCTATTGACTACTTTTTGTTTAGTTATTTACTACTATGTGTGTAGTCAATAGCTATACAAAAGTAGTATCAGAAATTTGAAAATAAAAGTAGTTAATAGTTAATAGTTAATAGCTATATAAAAGTAGTCACCGAGAGTAAAGACAGTATTATTTTCACAAGATTTTAAAATTTCAAAATAGTACCCAGGGCTTATTTGGATTTTGAAATTCACCCACTCTCATTTGTCATTTAGTATTTTTGAGAATATTTTAGTGTCTTTTTCCTTTTTACTAATTACATGACATTGAATTCTATTATGTGCCTCTTCTTCTTCTTCATTTCTCTTTAATATTTTATCTAGAAAATTTTAAATCTAATTTAGATTATACAAATTTTATGTTCTTCTAATTTTAATCACTTTTTACTTTGAAACATGGATTAGGATGAAACAATTTCAAAATTTCATTCTAAAAAATAATGCTTGAAGTATTATGATTAAAAACAGGGGTTTATATTTTTTTTTAGTTTAGTTTTTGAAATTTGACTCCATTTTAGTTTTGATTCTTAAAATTTGAAATAATAGTTTTGATTATTTTGGTCTATCTAAAAGCTTTTGTTGTTTCTAAAACATTGTTTTTGGTCCCTAAAACCTTTTTAAATTTTAGGGATTAAAATTAAGATAAAGTAAAATTTAAAGAATTAAAAATTATATTAACTCTCAAAATATTATAAATTTATAATATTAGAATATAAACAGCAACAACGGCAGAAGAGGTGGAGTTTTAGTGGTTGCTGGCTTGCTGCTTTGCCAAGCAAAAAGCAACTTGGATAAGAACAAAACCAAAATTCGTATCATCAAATCAACTTGGCTTTAATCTAAACCGCAAAAGATTTATATATTTATTTATGAAAAACAAACATAAAAGAATACAGAGAGAAAGAAAGAGGATATAAGAAGACTTGGATGATAGCTATGTGCCAGATTGAGGTATTCAACTTTACATTTGGCTATATTGATGAGATTCTCTTTTGTGATTAGAGGGAAAGTGTCTTTTTGAGGGGAGAGGCTGTGGCATAAAGGCAATATATGCTATGATGTTACTCAGAACATAATAAGTGGATTGTGTCATTAGGATTGACCACTCACAAAATCCCACTTATCCTCTCCACGTGCCCTCTTTTCCGTACTGGCATCTTTTATTTATTTAGTATTTATCCCCCCATTTCTTTCCCTTTTAAAAGCTAAGCCTGAATCCATTATTTGTTATGGAATAATCAAACAGCCTTTGCTCACAAAACCTACTTTGTTTTTCCCACCAAAAAAATTTAAGAAAAATCGATTATAAAGACGTATTTCAACATTTTATTAGTTAAAAGGACATGAATTCCTACCAAAAAAGTACTTCTTTAATTGTGTACAATATATCTTTAACTATATGTAATTAACTTATGTGTTGAAGATTTTTACATATAGTTAAGAAATTATATTCAAAAAGTAAGCATTCAAATCAAGATATGCTAGAATATTGGTTCATCAAATCCCCAGTTGACATCTCAAGTGGCGAATAACTTCGCAAATACGATTTCTCTTCAGTAAAATTTGATGCCTGCGGCGAATCAATTGCTAAAATTAACGAAACAAAGAAAACTTTTTGAATATTGCAATAGCAGCATGATACTGATGCAGTAATGCCAAATAATTTGTTCTCTCTACATATTTTTGGGGTGTGGCTGTCCTTTCTTTTATAAAGAGAACCCTGATAATGGATTGGTCAAATCAATTACATACAACAGCACGGGTTGTGGATCCCGCAGTTCAATTATACAAGGACCAAGGTAGGAGATGAGGAGCGTCAATTCTCAGATATTGAAATATGTATAGCAATCTCTCAAGTTTTGAAAATTCACCGCGTAATTTTACCATAATTTGGTGCTTAACGTTTCGTTGTGAACTTTCCTTAGCCAGAGTTTATATTAGAAGCCATCTGTTTCGGTGTACTCTAAATGGTATTGGATGTGAACTCTAATATGAATTATCAAGCATAGGACATGATGAAGATCCATAAATGAATATTTGCTCACAACAGTTACTGTTAATTCGCATAGAATCTATTATTTCAAAAGCCATTAAAGGAAGAGGATGCCTGCTTTGTGTCATCAAGAACTTCACCCTATACTGTTCAGGAGACTGAATCTTTGCTGCTAGCTCAGGATCAGAAAAACACAAAAAAAATCTGAAGAGTAAGGTTTAGTGCTTGAAATAGATCCATGGTTGATTGATATTGCCAGCACAGACGTGACATACTTACACCAATTTCAGCATCAACAATATTTCTCATCAAACTTCTGTCCTCAGGGTCAGATGTCAGTCATAATAGCAACCCCAGAAGCTGTGCTTGGCAGTACTACAGATTCAACACTCTCACCCTTTAAGCGTGACTTAATCGAGTAAATTTGTAAGATAGAAATATTTGGAAAAGATCATTTTCCTTAAATAAATAATGAAAACAAACTATATGCTACATTCTATATATATACAGCACCGAGGCTGGCTCAAACTTCAGAACATCAAAGTCAGATGTCAGCTACGTCTGCTACTAAATAATCTGTGATTAGCAACATTAAAGATTCGATTTTCATGTCCTTGAACTGGGACTAAATATTTGAAAACGATCTTTGCTTTGAAATCCAACAAATTTTAGTATTAATACTAAAGTGCTGGTGCAGACAAGCATAATAGAGAAATAAAATTTTCATTAGTTAAAATATATATACAAGCGCCAAGGCTGACCAATATCGCCTCAGAACTCCAACCTCTGTCTCTCTCTTTTCCTGGAAAGAGGGTAGTGATAAATAACAATAATACTACAAAATATCTTCTAGTTAGGACCCCAGCAGCTTAAGTACATGACGGTCCTTAAGGACTCCTCAGATTGCTTTGTGTGGTCATCTTTTAGTCTGGTGGAGACCATGGCAGAAGAGGAAGAGGAAAGCTTGTTTGCTTGAGACAGAGACCTCACTTGAGTTTCAAATGTTGTTGAGCTGATCTTAAAGTATGGTTCCACCGACACACGCCTTGGTCCTTCAAGGCCTCCACAGCTCCAATACTTGCTGCAACACTCCAAGCTCTGCTTGCGGAACTCATCTTTTAATTCTTCTGTAACTAAGGTTGGTATCACTCAGTTGTGAAATCAGTGTATGTTTTGATGGAGGAAAATGAAGTGAATGTGGTTGTTTTTATAGAGAGGGAAGCTTGAGATGGTTAAGCTGTTGCTGAAAGAAGGAAAAGACCAAAGATAAAGGGAAATACCAGGGGCTGAAAAATTTGTGCTGGTGGTTTTGGAGGCAGTGAAACCCACGGTTTTATATTTTATCGGTTGAGATTTAGAACCAAGTTCATGCATCGTCCTTAAAGGGACCACATGTCTTAATCACAAGGTTGTCACATACGGCTACTTCCCATTAAGCCAAGGTTGATGATTCCCATGTGGTTGTCTTCTGAGATGATCACTGCTTCCTTCGACACAAAGGGGCACAGAGTGTTTGGATCGAGTGATTACATGCTTGAAGTGTTAATATATGATTAATAATACGAATACATACATAGCACATTGAGGCAGCTACTGGCATTGCTTTATTAATTAAACAATTTTTTTAAAAAAATTTTTTATCGACTTTTCAAATGCTCAATAATTTTCTGCAGACCGCAGCATACTGATATAAATAGTTAAACAAAATATCATTACATTTTTCAAGTGCTCAAGAATTAGTTTTGCAGACGCAATAATTTTCTAGTCAGGGAAATCTTTGGCCCCCTTCAAAATCTTGCAACTGACAAATGCCGATCTGATATTGTCCACAAAACATTCAAAATGTTTGGGGTAAATAAAGCTTTAAATACATTAATAAAATATTAGTATTGATTTATAAAAGAATCATTGAAGATGATTTTGGTAAGGGGATACTAAACAATTCATATATTCACATAAAATACATCACATTTAATGTAAAACTTTTCAATTGTCATCCAATAGATTATCAAGTAATCCAACTAGATTTCTGCACTTGATAACATAATTGCTCTCTCCCAAATTATATTTTTCATTCTGTCACACTTTATAAAACTAATTACTTCCCATGAATGGTTACTTGCTTCTCATGAGTCAGGATAGGATGTCTTCATTTGACATATTTTGTTCACCAAAAACGGGAGGCAAATATATAATCTAATAATCTGCAATCAAAACTCACAAAATGGGAGCTACGTGGCCCTCGTCGATTAATTATCTTCAGTTGGCTTGCTAATTTTCTCTTTCAAATCAGGCTTGTATCGGTGAAGAAATGCTGATAGGCTATGGATTTTCAGTCATATCAAAGTGAAAATGGCGGTGAACACCTGTGTTCCGTGAAATAAAATCTGACAGTTCTATTAGTATTTGTCAAAATTTATATCATTCTGCCACCATGGAGAATCCACTACACTAATACGGCACCAGAAACTCAATCATCCATTTTTGCTTCTGGGGAAGCAGGGGACTAAGAATGGATTACAAAAAATTTTTCTTTTCTAGCTTCCCTGCTGCTTTAATTGGGACCCCAACAGCTTAAGTACATCACTGTCCTAAGGGACTCTTCTGATTGCTTTGCCTTCGCATCTTTTAGTCTGCTGGAAATCATACCAGAAGAAGAGGAAGAAAGCTTTTTAGCCTGAGAGACGGACCTAGCTTGGTTCTTGAGATGTTGCTGAGCTGATCTTAAAGCAGAGTTCCATCTGCAAATCCCTTGGTCCTTCAAGGCCTCCACAACTCCAACACTTGTTGCCACAATCCAAGCTCTGCTTGCTGAACTCATCTTATGATTCTTCTTAAAACACTGTTTGCTTTGCTTTTGGTATGGCAGAAAAAGGAACTCAGTGAGTAACGGAACACTTGATAGCAGGATTTGGGTTTGATGGAGCAAACGAGGGGAAGGGTTGTTTTATATATAGGGAAGCTTGAGATGGGAAAGTAGGTAGATGAAAGAAGAGGCCAAAACTCCGGGAAAACCAGAGGCTTCGGGCTAGTGGTTTTGGGACGTAGGACCAAATGTTACGTCACATGCAAGTAAGCTCGTTGTGGATTTGGATTTTAGGGTGAGGTGACTACGCTTCACATAATGACGTCCAGCACGAGGTTTGGATCTCATGGAAAAAAACCAGTATACCCCCAGTTTCCAGGACAGAGAGTTGAAACTCCTTGTGGTTTTTTCCCCCGTCTTTTGAATAAAATAAACTATTCCAGCCTAGCAGGAAAATGGAGTTAAACTGATTCAGCAAGTGGCCGGTAATTACAAAATACATATTCTACTTTTATGCACTAATTGTTTTACTTTAACTTAAAATGTTGACTTATGTTAAAAAAATTAATTTTTTTAAGAATTAAGGTGCATAGCATCTTAAATATTTTTTTAATTGTATCTAGTATTTCAAAATAATTTGTAGTGCATCCAGTATCAAAACAATGTAATTTTAAGCATGTCCTAATTTTTTCAGACGCTGGACGCATGTAAAAAAACAATATTTTGAATGTCAGATGTAACACAAAATATTTAAAATACTAAATATAGTTAAAAAAATATTTTAAGATACTGACCGACCTTTACTTCTTTTTTTAAATCACATGTAGCTTTCATCCTGAGACGAGGCGGCACACGAATGTTTTCTGAAATTAATGGTGATGAGCGTGATTAAAATTTTCAAGTGTTCATATCAAAATTGTACTGGTAGTTCATAATGGACAAGCAATTTCCTTTCAAGTTTCGAAAATCCATCACACAACTGCAACTTACTGCTTAGTACCAGTTCTTTGTTATCAGCACCCGGGTTCAAAATTCGTTGCCTTCAACCGTGATTAGAGCATTGGAACAAGCATAAATTCCTCGCAGCCTTTTTCTCGAGTTTTAATTTCTTGGAAACCTGAAGGGTTTCAGCGGAAAACTGCGAATACAGTATGCAATTTCGCTAAAAGAGGAAATTCATCAAGGTGGAAGATGCCGAGGGACACAAGTTAAATGGAGAAACAGAATTTCATTAACCACATTATATATACAATCCTCATGGAAGGCCAAAACAATAGCCCCAGAATTATCAGCGCCCTTTTTTTTGTTTTGTTGAAAGAGATGACTGATAGTTCAATACAAAAAAATATAGTTTAGTTGGGGACCCCAGCAGCTTAAGTACATGACCGTCCTTAAGGACTCCTCAGACTGCTTTGTTTGGTCATCTTTTAGTCTGGTGGAGACCATGGCAGAAGAGGAAGAAGAAAGCTTGTTTGCTTGAGACAGAGACCTCACTTGAGTTCTCAAATGTTGTTGAGCTGATCTTAAAGTATGGTTCCACCTGCACACGCCTTGGTCCTTCAAGGCCTCCACAGCTCCAATACTTGCTGCAACACTCCAAGCTCTGCTTGCGGAACTCATCTTTTAATTCTTCTGTAACTAAGGTTGGTTTCACTCAGTTGTGAAATCAGTGTATGTTTTGATGGAGGAAAATGAAGCGAATGTGGTTGTTTATATAGAGACGGAATCTTGAGATGGTGAAGTTGCTGCTTAAAGAAGGAAAAGGCCAAAAATAAAGAGAAAAACCAGGGGCTGAAAGATTCGAGGAGGTGGTTTTGGGGGCTTACAAGCCCATGGTTCTTTATTTTATCGGGTGAGCTTCACAATCAAGTTAAGTGTATCCTCTTTATTCAAAAAACAATAAAAAAAAGTTAAAGTGTATCCTCCTCAATGGGACCACATGTCTTAATCACGAGTTTGTCACATACGGCTTCTTGCCACTTAGCATGATTATCTTTTATTTTTTATCCTTATCTCTTTTGAGTTGATTATTGCTTGCTTCGAGATAAAAGGCACACACTTTGGATCCAGTGATTGGCGGCTAAGACAACTGATAATCAAACCGCAATCTTCAAAAAGTATAAAACAGTGGCACCTTCAATCTATTATGAACGGGCGCATTGCACATTGAGGCACGTATGGGTATTACTTCGCTAATGAAGCCGCTATGTTTTTTTTTGGAAAATTCTAAAAAAAACTTTTGAAATATAAGAAATTTCAGATTGGGTCTTAGAATTATATAAATAACAGAAAAGGTCAATGACCCAATCTATCATTTGTAAAATCAAGAAAAATTGACAACTTTGCCCTCATTTGTATTCATTCACTACAATAATTTAAGGAATCATTATAAAAGTTTAAGCGTTACTTATATTCATATAAAGAATAACTACTCATTTTTTCATAGTCAGATATCTTATTATTAACTACAACTAATCATGTAATCACTAGAACAGTATAAGCGTTACCTAGATTTGTTTAGAGAATAACTACTCACTTTTGCTTAGCCAGAGCAAAATTGTCAATTCTTTTTTATTTTACAAATGATAGATTAGATCGTTGACTCTTTCTGTCGTTTACACAATTCCAGAACCTAATCTGGAATTACATATATTTCAAGGGTTTTTTTTGGGATTTTTTTAAGGGGAAAAAAAAAAAACCTTTTCAACTGCTGAAGAGTTTTACAGTAACCGCAACACGCTGATATCAGTGAATGTCTACTAAAAACAGCTCAAAATGTTGTGGAGTAAATTATAATTAAAAAAGAAAAAACTCTCCTATGTACTAATACGCTAACCCCATTGATTTGTTGGAGAATTTTTGTAAATAACATTAGTACGGTGGTGTTAAAAGAAATCATATCTTCACATTTCCCTCACCCTAAAACTACAGTCCAGCGAGAGCTGTCCACCTGATCTCTGAACTCGAGTAGATAATTGTTCACTCCTCAATTATTTTTGGTTCAGAAATCCAAGGCCAGAAGCAGTTGAGTCACTTTGATTATAACCCTATAGCACACAATTCGTATAAGTCATTAAGATTCAGAGGCTTTGCGGGATATAATGTCTCCATTTTAACATCTTTTTCACCAAAAAAATAGGAGGCAATTACGTATATCTGTAATCGAAGTTCATAAAATAACAGCTACGTCCGTTATGTTAAAAAGTTTCATTGATCATCAGTTCTCTTATTTTGCCCCCATCTTCAGTTGGCGAGCTTGTTTTCTCTTTTAAATCAGGCACGAACATATGTACGAGTATAGAAATGTTGATATAGAGTACGCATCTTTCAGATAAGAGGAAGCACATCCTCACACAAAAGTGAAAGTGGAGATGAACACATACTTAACGTGAAAAATTTAGACGTTTCTATTACAGTCTATCAAAATTTACATCACTCCGTCACAGGAGAGAATAAGCCAAGTCTAATAAAGCACCAGAAAACTCATCCTCCATTTTCTGGCTGAAGGAAGCTTAGAACTAGGAATTAATTACAAAAAAGTTCATTTCTAGCTTCCCTTTGGCTCTAATTGGGACCCCAACAGCTTAAGTACATCACTGTCCTCAGGGACTCCTCTGATTGCTTTGCCTTCTCGTCTTTTAGTCTGGTGGAGAGCAGAGTAGAAGAAGAAGAAGAAGAAGAAAGCTTCGTACCCTGAGAGACGGACCTCGCTTGGTTCTTGAGATGTTGCTGAGCTGATCTTAGAGCAGAGTTCCATCTGCAAATTCCTTGGTCCTTCAAGGCCTCCACAACTCCAACACTTGTTGCCACAATCCAAGCTCTACTTGCTGAACTCATCTTAGGATACTTCTTAAAAACACGGTTTGCTTTGCTTTTGGTATGACAGAAAAGGAAACTCGGTAAGTAATGGGACGCTAGTTAGCAGGATTTGGGTTTGATGGAGCAAAGGAGGGAAAGGGCTGTTTTATATAGGGAAGCTTGAGGTGTGAAGGTAGGTGGCAGGAAGAAACAGACAAAACTCAGAAAACCAGAGGCTGAACGCAGGTGGTTTCGGAGGGTGGGACCATATGCTTGCGTCGCATTCATCCAAGATGCTCGTAGTGGAGGTGGACTATTGGGGGACCAGGCCGCTTGACTAAAGACATCTCGCACGCGGTTTCGAGCTCACGTATGAAACTAGCAGTGTACCAGTACAGGGAGAAGGGTCGAAAAGTTGCAATATCTTATTGCTTTGTTTTAAGTCAAGTATTATATTTGGGCCTTCTCTAGTCGTCCGGTCGTTGTAGTATAGTGGTGAGTATTCCCGCCTGTCACGCGGGCGACCCGGGTTCGATCCCCGGCAACGGCGCTAGTGGGTTTTTGGTTTTGGCTAAAATGAAAAGCACTGATGAAGACCGAGGGAAGGGAGAAGCAAATGCCCTCTCATTGTCGAAGGAGTTTACTTGGAAATAGAATATGAACTACTGTCTGGTTTTCTTGAGGATATCTCAGACTGCATCGTATTGTCATGTTTTTATTAAGCCCTACCGGCATAAAAGAGCGGACCGAACATATAAGGAGGAATTATCTGAGATTTTTATTATATAACGAAAATGTACATCAGAAACAACTGAAGTTGATATATGGCACCACAGAGCTCGTCCTCCATGTTTTGCTGGTGGAACTAGGAACTAAATACAAAAATGTTGTTTGCCATCTTCTCTTTAATTGGGACCCCTGCAGCTCAAGTACATGACCGTCCTAAGCGACTCCTCAGATTGTTGTGTCTTATGGCGCTTGAGTCCTTTTGATGAAGAAGAAAGCTTCTTAGCCTGAGAGATGGACCTAGTTTGGTTCTTCAGATGTTGTTGAGCTGATCTTAAAGCAGAGTTCCATCTGCAAATTCCTTGGTCCTTTAAGGCCTCCACAACTCCCGCACTGGTCGCCACAATCCATGCTCTGCTTGCTGAACTCATCTTAGTGCTTATAGCGTTTTCGATACACAGAATCGCTGAAGAAGTCTTTAGGAGTGTAATGGAGAGGATCAGTAGGAAAGATTTGGGTTTGATGAAGACAGTGGGTTGTTGTAAATATATATAGAAATGGGAAAGTCCGGGGTAGATGGGAGAGGAGGCCAAAACTTGGGGAAACCAGAGTCTGTGAGGCAGTGGTTTTGGGCCGTGGGACCAAACATCTTCGTCAAAGATAAGGACAAAATAGGCCCTGGTTTGCTGCCTCTTGAAAACCACCCAATCATGAGTAGAGAGGGAAATTTTGAAACTGACTTGTTTTATTCCGTCACGTTTTAGGGCATTAACCCACAATCCAACATGGGCACCTGTCCGTGTACGCTGCTACAAGAAAGGAAGATAATTGCCCAAGACTTCTGTAAATTCTGAGTCGTTTTTTTTCAAAATATCATAAAATATCCTTGAATGTTTAAATCTACCAAGTAAGACTCTATCGTCTGCTATTGGACACATCAAAAGATGATTTGCGCATGACTCGAACAGGGGTCCGATGCTTGAACATCGGTCTTCCTTTTCTTCTCAGTATGAGCCTTAACTAGAATAACTCGCGCTTACAATCAATTTGTGTATTTTATAATGCTCAGTTTGCTCACAGAAGTTCCTGATCAGAGCGTCTGATTCTTCTTCTTGTTCTTGGTTTGTTGTATCAGGTTCTTCAGGGCAAAAAGTATTGCACGAAATGGAGTCTACGCTCAGAAATGAAGCATATTAGGAAGAGAAAGAACATCAACGAACGTAATTGAGATTTGCTAGTGTTTCTCACTGCATCTATCATTTATCAAAAATTTACATAGTTACAGGCTTACAGCTTTCACAAAGGACAAACAATTTTTCGTTCTACGAGAGGGGAAAAAAAGGATGATGCTGTTGGGTTCTAATTAGGACCCCAGCAACTCAAATACATGACCGTCCTAAGAGACTCTTCTGATTGTTTTGCCTTATTGTCCTTGAGTCTTTTGGAAACCATGGCAGAAGAAGGAGAAGACAGCTTCTTCGCCTGAGAGATGGACCTAGCCTGATTCTTCAGATGCTGTTGAACTGACCTTAAAGCGTAGTTCCATCTGCAAACCCCTTGGTCCTTCAAGGCCTCCACAACTCCAACGCTTGTTGCCGCGATCCAAGCTCTGCTCGCTGAACTCATGTTTCTATTCTTTTCGAAACTTCTCAAGTCGATACGAAGTGTAGTTTCACTGAGAAACGGACACAACAAATTTAACACCTTCAGGATTTATGGTTGATGAACTGAGGGAATGCAAGCCTCTTATATATAGTCAAGTGTGAAGATTCAGATCTCCGAGTCGGTGAAATAAAACAGAAGAAAAGGCCAAACTTTATGGAAAACCAGGGTTGGTAAGAGAATTCCGGGTGCAGGAACGCCTCCGGTTTTTGGGGCCCTCTTCCCTCTTCAATGGGCTAACAAGATATTAAAGTAATATTTTCTTAATCTTTATCCTCCAGCTCAGCGGGATGGGCCCTGTGATGTCAGTGACAACAGGTAGTGCCAAACAACTGCTTAAGAAAGGAAGTTTCCACGTAGAGACTCTGGTTTTGGAGTTTGCACCCAATTGGCCAAACTTTATGTTGTAGACGCACGGGAGATGACAACCAAAAGACCGTTTGTTTTCCAGCGAGCTAGGGAAATTGTTGTTTTTTCTTTTCTTTCCCCTTTTTTTATCAACTGATGTTGTTGATAATTAAATTACTCAACTTGGGAAGAAATTTGCATGATAATGAGGAATATGATTATGTCGAGGGTACTAAGGTCCGAGGGTCAAAAAGTGAATCAATATTGGCCAAAAAACACAAATAAAAACAAGGTAAATCAATATTCTGGAATAATCTTTGTTATCTGAATTTTCTTGGGAACAAAAAAGGTGCATTGATGGCTAGCGGCCATGGCAAAACGAAAAAAGACGAGGCTAGCATAATATACTCGGCCTGACAATCATGGGCCTAACTCACCGATCCCATGCACGAAAGGCACAAGCTAACAGAGGAGGGTCGTCGTCGCCGTCGCCAACAAGGGAGGGTCTTTATCTCTGTTTCTCAGCTATATATCTTTAAAAGATTTGAACAACCATCCGTGGTCAGTGATTGAGGGATCATATTTTAACTAAGGACTTCTCTGATCGAAGCTGGATGGGTTAGGTTTATTTTGATGAAGTTATCAAATTATGATTTTAAGGGCATTTGACACGAGCAAGATGTTTTACCATTCACATGCTCCAAAACGGTGGCCCTCTTCACACGCGCAACCCTCACTGAACCACTTTCCCTTTTGGGATTCTTCAGACCCCCCATCAAAACAATTCCAGATTCAGGCTTTCTATGTTTCAGCCGTGCTTTGAATATCAGTCTCCCTCCACAGTATGAGCCTTACCTATATACTAATTGGCGTTTATCATTTATGTGCTTAATATTGCTTATTATTACTCCTCCGATCCTAATTATAAGACCCAATTGACTTATTTGAGGAGATTGTAAGTTAAGTTGGTTATTTATAATAAATAAGTGTTGTTATTCTTAAAATATCCTTGCTAATTAAATATATTACTAAAACTATCATTATTAGAAGGATTATCTTGAAAAAAATACATAAATATAAAAGAGAAAATGGATTAGGTCTTATAATTAGGACTAAATAAAAAGTCAAATTAGGTCTTATAATAAAAAGAGGAGTAGTTAAAAAATGATTTCTGATCATACAGATTCCTCCTAGTCATCAAAATCATCCCTGTTCTGCGTTTGTTGGATCAGGATTTGGTGGAAAATAAAGGTTTCGCATGAACTGGAGTTGCCACTCACAATTAGACGCGAAGCATATGAAAGCAAGAGAAAAACGACACCAACGAGCATAATTGAAATTTGCTAGTGTTTCACACTGCATCTATCATTTATCAAAATTTACATCAGTCCTTTCGGCTTTCACGATGGACCGAACAATTTTTTTGTTTCAAAAAGGAAAAAGAAAGTATGCACTTCTGTCCTAATTAGGACCCCAGCAGCTCAAATACATGACTGTCCTCAGGGACTCTTCTGATTGCTTTGCCTTCTCGTCCTTGAGTCTTTTGGAAACCATTGCAGAAGGAGTAGAAGACAGCTTCTTAGCCTGAGAGATGGACCTGGCCTGATTCTTCAGATGTTGTTGCACGGACCTTAAAGCGTAGTTCCATCTGCAAATTCCTTGGTCCTTCAAGGCCTCCACAACTCCAACACTTGTCGCTACAACCCAGGCTCTGCTCGCTGAATTCATGTTTCAATTCTTCTTAAAACTCTAAAAGGCGCTACGAAGTGTTCTTCAGAGGAGAAAGGAGTAGCAATATCAAAATTTAGGTTTGATGGAGAAATGCTGGGATATGCGGTTCTTATGTAGATAAAGATGCCCGAGTCGGTGAAACAGAAGAAGAAAAGGCCAAACTTGTGGAAAACCGGGGGCTGTACGAGAATTCCTGGGGCAGGAAAGCCTCGGGTTTTTGCCCTTTTCTCGCTTTTGATGAGATTAATATTTATTATTTTTCTTGCTTAGACTTTTATTGTAATTCTCCTTTACCTTTATTTTTACCGGTCTATGCTCTTACGGAGTCCATGTCAGCGTCACCCGATTGGTTAGACGTTCAAACTTTTGAGGAATGAAAACTAAAGGAATCGAGGCCGCTTGTTTTCTTGTGAAGTTGTGGGTGATCAAATAATTTAACCTCGGCAACGATTATTTATAATACTTGTCCGGTTTTAAATATAATACTTTTACACACACTATTATAAAAATCTTATATTTAGGACTGGAAGAGTAATAAATAACCAGATAAATTATTAGAGTAAAGAAAATAATTATGTTGAGGTAGGGTCATCATTATCTTTAATCCTTAGCTGTATATATGTGTGTGTGTTGTTTTTGAACAAAACATCTGTTATCAGTGATTTTGAGGAAACACTATTTTAACTTGAGGGCTTCTCGGATTCAGGGCTATGCTAGGAGTAGTTGAGAGTTGAGACGCAGTTCCTTTATTTCACCAGTTGCTTGTTTCACCTTCGGATGTTATTTCCAGAAAATGGAACTGAGCATCCATCAACACGAAAACAGTTTCTCAATTGAGTAGTGCTACTCTTACAGTTGCCCGATCTATCATCACCATTCAATATCTACACCAATATTGTAAACTGAGGACATATGAATCAATATCTCCGAGGCTTTTTGGCTTGAAGGTACTATTTTTATTGATATCCAGAGTCAGAAGATAGCAATTACAGTTACAGTTTGCAAGTCCTCGCTAACAGAAGTTACATATTTATACGTGCAATTGTCACGATCAAAAGTCACAGGTAGTGCACATTTATAGCTCTAGCTCTATGGTATAAATTTTCCTTCTTCTGGCTGTTAGGATCCAATCCAGCAGCTCAAGTACATGATCGTTTTTAGAGACTCCTCTGGCTTGTTTATCTTCTCGTCATTCCTCATCAGCTTCTTTGAAATGACTGAAGAAGCCTGGGCTTGTGACTTTATCATGTTGTTCCATCTGCAATATCCTTGATCCTTCATTGCCTCCATTACTCCTACACTGGTTGCCACAACCCATCCTCCTCTTGCACCACACATCCCGATCGATGCTTTTGTCGCTTCTCTGTGAATCTTCCAACTGCTTGAAATTGAAAATAGTCTAGTGATCAGAGAAAATGAGATGGGTTCGCTACTTGTATAGATCTTGCAGGGAAAGTGCCACCATCAAATACAATGAATTTCATTTATGGTGGGGCCATATCTCGGCTGCCACATGGATCCAAAAGCGCTAGTGATTCAACTTGTCTTCATTGGAGGATTCTTTTGCGGCACATGGTTTTGTGAGAATCCCATGGTCTGTTATTTCAGACCCGTAGTTGGGGAAGCGAAACCGTTGTTTATGTTGAAGTGGATAACGTGGGGTCCAAAGAACCACCATATTAAGTTTCTTATTGGTAATGATATCTAAATACAAGTGTGACCATCAATATCTACTCATCTTTTTTTACCTCTTACTCATTTGGTGTTATTTATAAGATAAAAAGAAAAAGTTTTTCTGAATCTATTTGTAAGTCACTTCATTAAATTTTTAGCACAAATATATTATTTTGTCTTTCATTTATTATAATATAAATAGTTTTTTTTTTAAAAGTGTATATATTAAATAAAGATAAAGTTAAAAAAGTTATTACATTTTAATAAAAAGTTAATGTAGTTTAAAGTTTTTCTTAGTTTGTACTCCCTCTGTTTGTTATTATAAGAGACATTTGATGTTTATGGCATGTTTCCATATATAAGAGACATTTAAAAGTTGTCTCTATTTTTTTGTATTGATTTTCTATTTTACCCCTATTTATTTTGTCCCCAACTCATACTCTCTCTCCCTCTCACTTCTCTTTCTCTTAATAATTTAATTGTTCTCTCTCATACTCTCTCTCCTTATTAATAGGGGCATTGTTGGAAAAAACATTATACTTTTTACATATTAATTGTCCTCAATTAATTTTAACTGTTTTTTTTATTAACATAATTTAGTTATTTGTCTCTTATAATAAGGAACAAAGGGAGTATGAAACATGTTATTTACAAAGAAAACTGTGCATATTAAGAGCTTTGCAGGTTGCAATCTCACCAATCATTACTGATTCACTCTAAGTGTAATGAAAAGTCATTGCTGAGCTTTATTTAATACACTAGCTTAGTTCAGTTACCAGAAGAGCCACAATTATTTTCCATCGGTCTCCATCAATTGCACTGGCTGGCCTTTGGTTAGGCCAACAAGAATGTCATATATAAAGAAGGAATTGCTTGTATATAGACTCGCACTACTCAGAGTTCGCCCATGAATAAGAGGGAAGCCATTTCTGGTTCAATTTGAAGCCATGAATGAGCTTGCCTCAAAGGACTTGGCGCCCGCTATGAGTGCGAAGCAGAGAGGGGACTACGACAAGTTCTTCCAGGGCAGGCATCTTCCTGGAGAAGAAGACAAAGTGAAGATGGCGGGAGCAAACGAGAAATACAAGCTGAAGAACTTAGAGAGAGCTGAAAAGCTCATGCATGTCATATTGTGGGGACCCAGATAAATGGCTACATGTAATAAAACGTTCATGTTTTTATTTGTACCAGAGTTTCTGTTACCACCTTATCGAGTGTTTGGGGAAGGGCTTTAAATATGTTCATATGTATATGTACGTACATATCCTCTGTTTTGTTTCCCATCTAAACAAACATCACACACCCTTTTCTTAGTAGGTATTTAATGTATTCATTTTCACTTCTTTTTGTCTGTTCTGTTATTATGTCGGTCAAGTTTAACCATTTAAATTTTGTGATCCATAGCAAATCGGTTCTGAATGAATAAAGATGGGTGGATCACATGCTTTACTGACATACTGATCAGTTTATTATACGCGTATTGCCTTTCCAGCTATTCATCATATCGATCTGAATGCTAGCCAAGAGAAAAATCCTAATAGAGGCTTCATTTAAATTGCTCCAAATTTCTCGCTTGAACAGAAAGTTCCCAGAGATTCCTGAGCCGATTAAACTAACTGTTCATTCAAGGCATTAATATGCGACAAGCAACATCATACGTTCTCTAGACAAGACAGAGGGACTCTTCTCATTAATCATATTTTATTTATATAGGATGCAAGAAGAAGGGCTTATAACATAGAGGGTCTTTATTAAGTTTGAACTCGACATTACAAACTCTATGTCAGCTGGCTGTAGCTGAGTATTTCTACAGAAAATGGGCACAAATACAACTAGCAGTAAGAAGAAAAGATTCTTTCCAGGCGAAAAAAGTAAGAAGAAAAGATGATACTTGCCGGTTGACACAAAAATAGTACTAGTGAATTTAGGAGTTTGGACCCCAGCAGCTCAAGTACATGACAGTCCGGAGGGTTTCTTCTGCTTGTTTGAACCTTGCAGCATCAGTATTACTGGTTTTCCCGGCCTGATCAACATTGACACTAATCTGTGTCTTATGCCTTGAGCATCCTTTCTGAGAACGAATCATATGTTGTATCCTTGGATCTTTGGTTCCTTCCATTTGGTGAACGACTTCGGAATATCTCACAGGTAAGCTCTTGTAGGTTTGATCACACCATCTTCGTCAATTTCCAAATATAAGTAATTCGAAGCATAAACAAATATACAACTGGCCACCTGTCACGCTAGATTGTCTGCTTGGCGTCTAGCTCTTAGATACCACAGTGAACAGTGAGTAACAAGGACCAAGATTCTGTAATCTGATGCAAAGATGAAGAGGCGTTGCATAAATTAGATGCAGCTTGCTTAATATATCTTCAGTTAATCCATAGCCAGCTTCTGTTAAAACTCTGATTGCTGTACTGTTGGCTGATTCTTGCTTTACAGTGCAGAATGAATTGTTAAATACGCAAAAGCAGGATGACTGGTCAAGCACCGGATGAGAAGGAATATACACGTGACCACATGTAGATCGGATAAGATCGCCAGTATCAGTGAAAGATGAAGCATTCCTTTCTCATCTTTGTACACCTGAAAGGCAGTAGGGTAGGAGCACTCACGTGAGCTAGTAATTAAGCTCCAAGATGCCTCAGGATAGAATTGAAGCTTTCATACACTCTTTATTGTTACAATCTTTAACTTATTAAGCATTGATTTCGTTTAGTAAACTTCACCCCCTCCATATGATCACGAGGAGCGCCGCCATTATACAAGTTTAACAAGATTAAGCTCGAGGCAGAAATCCAAGTTTGCTTTTTGTTTCTTCCAGACATCTACAAGAAGTTGCTTCTTTTGATACCTATTCACTTTTAAGAAATTTTAGTGATTCACTTCCACAATAATTCTTTTTGACTAGGAAATGAATTTAAATACATTTTGGATAATAATAAAAGTCAACCTTTTTTTTTTTGGAGCTTGGTCAATTTTTCACAAGTGTACAAGCCATGACTCACGAGGAGGGTCGACCTGAAAACGGAAGACGAAGCTGAACCACACAAAGGAAGGAGAGAGAGAGAGAGAAAAAATCGGACACAAAATCCTAACACTACAAGCAACGACGTTCCTTGGACTCCCGCGACGAGAACTCAACCTCGCCACCCCATTCCACGTGTCGTTATGCTATCGGCCCTTTCGAAAACTCACAAAAATTTCAGTTTCACACTCCGGATAAGCTTATCCCTCTCACAATCATACTTTCGAAACCAAACGCTGCTGCTTTGAGTGCTTTCTCTCTGACCTTTCTCTTCCCAGTCGGAACCACCATGCCGCAAAGTCTTTGACTTTGATTAGACCACCTCAGTCTCTCCCATTGCTATTATTCCCTTCAATGGCCGCTGTTACCTCTTTCTCTTTCTCCGCATTAACTCACTGTTCTGAAAGAAAGGCAGCTTTCCCTTCCACTCGCTTCCTCGGATTCAATTCGGCGGCATTACGGTTTCGGACGAATATTTCTTACCACTATGCTGGTGTTGGAGCTTCCAATTCCACTTCTAAAATGATTATTCAATGCATGTCTTCTGCGACAGGTTGGTATCCATTTGCTTCTCTCCTTAGTTCTGATTATCGATAAAGATTGGGGAGTGGTAGAGTTATGAACTTCCTGTTATCGTTTTAAATTTTTTTAAAAAAGAATTACTAAACTTCATTTGTTGATACCTGTTGTCATCATGAATGGAAGTCCGAAGTCCTGTGTATTGAGAAATCGTCTCCAATTTTAGCGTTCTATATATTGATTCTTTTGGATCTCGATTTCGATTAAAGTATGGTTCTGCAAGTTACTCTTAAAGTGCAGGTTTTTCTAATTTATTAATGGAATTAAAGTCCGGGTTTTTACTGATTTTTAAGAATTTCAACTTCATATCAATTGAGAAAACCGTGGAAAATTTTTTTGAGGGGTGATGTCCCCCCATCGAAGGGAATACATATTCCTTTGACGCTCTTAGTGGTTGTTGCTAAATAATATTACTGTTGAGTACTATGAATTTCTGCAAACACTTGAACTTCATCAGTTCTCCGTAACCAACAGAATGTAATTACTTTTGAGGATATATTTTGGGTCAAATTTATTTTATCGGAAATTTTCCTGATTGATCTCACATTACATTCTATTTTCCTATGAAATTTCTTGTAATATAAGTTCTTGTAGACGCACTTCTAATTTATCTAGCAGTGCATGCTTTTTAAAAAGGGAAATATTCTTAAAACTACAGATTGTGAGCTTTATATGTTAATGAGCATATCCAATCCATTTGACTTTTATAAACATAATGCAGTGTCAAGCTTGTCGGAACAACTGATTGAGATATAAAAATGAATTATAAGCATCCACCTGGCAGCTTAAGGTTTTAGTTTGAAGTAGTCCTTGACTAGGTATGGGAGCTGTAGCTTTATCACCAAGTGCTAAAGGTTTTGGTCTGATTGTTCCTATTTCCGCGTCTTCCAAATTATCAATTATGTTTCAACCCAAAGTATTTTGAGTTTGTGCTTTGTCGACACTTCAAATCTATAGTGCAATTGTGTGAGGAGCAAATATGCTTTTGCATTTGTTTGCTAAAAGTTCCGCATTTGTTTCCTTCATCTCTCTTAGAGACTCATACTGCAATGGGGGCAGAAGCAATAAAAATGAAAAATAAACCTTCTTATTTTGTCTACGTTTTTTTATGCAGATCTTCCCACTGTATCTGAGACAAAATATAACTTCCTCAAGGCATATAAACGACCAATCCCTAGTATCTACAACACTGTGCTGCAGGAGCTCATTGTTCAGCAGCATTTAATGAGATACAAGAGATCATACCGTTATGACCCTGTATTTGCGCTTGGTTTTGTCACTGTGTACGATCAACTCATGGATGGGTATCCTAGTGATGAAGATCGAGATGCCATCTTCCAAGCATATATCAGGGCATTGAAAGAAGAGCCAGAACAATATAGGTTAGAAGATAGAGTTATTGGTTCTTTCCATAATTAATTGATCTAATTGTTTTGTTTAAAGTTCAAGATCCATGAGGGCTCTAACCGTATCTTTTTTATAGCTTCTATTCTTAGCTGTGAATCACAATGATTAAAGAATGAAATGTCTGTTTCACATCAGTTAATCAGTTCCTTACAGCATGATTTACAGACATTAAACATGAATTGATACACAATAACGTTGAGGTAGGAGTTGCAAATTGTAGCTTTGTCCTGCAACATGATTTCAACATCAGCTTTACATATTTCTGCGTCTCAATTCACACTAACTGCATAGACTTCCAATTGAATCGGAAGATAGTACAATAGAATGACTTCCTTTGTTGACTAATCAATTCTTTTTTTACACTTTGTTGAGTCTTAGGATATCCAAATGAAGGTCTTTTAGCAAAAGCGGGAGTAGCATTATCCTTTTAACATTTTCATTGTATTGTGGAAATTTGAATAAACTGCATTGAGAATTCTTTATCAGAAATGATGTTATATATGAGCCTCTACAGAATAGATGCACAGAAGTTGGAAGAGTGGGCCCGGGCTCAGAACCCAACTTCCCTAGTTGAGTTTTCTTCCAGAGAAGGAGAGGTGGAGGGTATATTAAAGGATATTGCAGAAAGAGCAGGTGGGAAGGGGGATTTCAGTTATAGTCGTTTCTTTGCAGTGGGACTATTTCGACTTCTTGAGTTGGCAAATGCAACAGAGCCGGCCATTTTGGATAAGGTATGGTTACCCATTTCCTGTAGGATATCATGGCTATTTTATTTGAACTTACAGATATTTGAATTGTTATGTGCTCTATTTTAATGATCTGAAGTTTTTTCTACCAAGAATAATTTACATATTCTCTTAAGTTTTCGTCAAACTAGATATCCAAGAAAGTGTTGCATTTCCAGGTGCCAACCTATTTGGAATAATTGAATTGAATAAATGGCCTTCAAACTCTTTCTCCAACCCTCATTTGCATGGTTAGCGCCTTCAATTCGTGAAGGAGAATACTCCACTTCACAGTAGACTTTTCTGTAACTAAACATCCTATGCCCTAAAACCGCAGATGCATTAACGATGTTGAGAGTAGATGTCTCGCACTGGCATTGCAGAGAATGTTGCTCAAATCTCATTATCAAGATTGTAAAACTAGCTCTTAAATATGGCCATTATTGTTTGATATGATAAATTGCTCATTTAATCCCTGGTGTTATTCCAACAGCTTTGCGCAGCTTTGAACATCAACAAAAGAAGCGTTGATCGTGATTTGGATGTGTACCGTAATCTGCTTTCCAAGTTGGTTCAGGCGAAAGAGCTGCTCAGGGAATATGTTGACAGGTGAGAACCAGATTTTTGGATACCAGTCATTTGGCACCCTCCAACCTCAACTCCCTCCCCCACAAGACAAAAGAACTTTGCATGGTTTATGAATTTACTGAAAGTCTTTTTTAACGAGGCCTATTTGACTCTGCAAGTTGTAAATCTGCTTGTTCTTGTATATATAATTTTGATTGACTTGTTTTTTATAGCGAGGTTTTGACTTCTTTGAAATACATTGCTTCAGGGAGAAGAAGAAAAGAGAAGAAAGGACTGAATCGCAAAAGGCTAATGAGGCGGTTTCAAAATGTTTGGGACAAAGCATCAGTTTTCTGGCCTCTAGACATTAATGAACGATGTTCCTGTGATGGTTGCGCATTCTTGGCTTCATTTTTCTTGGTTCTTGAATAATCAGTTGTAACCAGCCTGGTCCTACATATTGTATTCAATGTATTAGCTCTTACGGTGATCCAGCTGAAACCTCACCCTGTCAATATGATCACATCATCCTCTCTTACGTGTACTGTTTGTCTCCGTGGCAAATATATTTTTTTAATAGCTATCGATTGCAAGGCTTGAGGCACGTATACTTTCTGGTTACAATTGAAACTTTTCTCAGGTCAGTCCATCGGTTTCTTCAGATGTTTGGTGATTTGTCATGTTTCAGCAAGGTACCTATGGTTCTATAAAACCATTCGGAGTTTGACTTCAATGTCGTCTACTGCCATACTATTGGAACCCCTGCTGCCGCTAAATGAAAATGATAATTCTCACCCAAAGAAAAAACAAAGGAAAATAAACAAGAAAAGAAGAAAATTATTAACTTTATTAATATCAGTAATTATCACAATAAAATAGGGAGAAAGTGCACTCCATTATTCTGGGCCCAACATACTAAAAGAAAAAACCTTCAAGTTCAAGGCTTCTTATTCAGATTCATAAATAAATTGAACCCTATTTTCCAAATTGAAGACAGCAACCAACAACGTAATACTGAAATGTTTATTATAAAGGTTGCCGCATTAATATCACATCGGGGTAAGAAATATCAACCTTGCCTCCTAGGCAGTAGAAACACCATATTTAGCGGCTTTAGCGGCGAAATGCCTAACTAATATGAGAGAGATCGACATCATCTGGGATTTTAAATGAATCTGCTGCGCCAAACTTGCGATACTCCTCAGCTGTAGAGTCTTCATCTTGACTATCATCTTCCTCCACATGATCATCGTGTGTTGCTGACGCATCATGCACACTTTTAGACCTGCAATCATGAGTGGCAAGCATGTTGACCTGGCCAAGGTGAGATATCTCTACCACAACGGTATCATCATCAACTGGGAGAGGTTGCTTCCAGGGTTCTCCATCAATCCTCATGTAGGTATGATCTGCTGCTCCCTTGTGAAATTCAAAGCGGATTCTGTGGGCCTGATGCCCCGAGAGAGGCATCCAAGTGCGGTGTTAATCAAATTAATAGTTCAATTGATGTCTATGACTCACGTAATGAATGTTTGATAATTAGACTACAACCGACTTCTTACTTGGTGATAACTGAACTTAAAAGTCTCATCGCATATTTGGTTTTCCTTCTCAAACTCTAGTTATAATAAATCTGCTTTTTTTTTTTTTTTTTCAATGTGGTCTTAGTAGTTTCGGAAGGAAACTAGTTTCCAACATTTGCTTATTCCACACGTACCTGACCAAGACGCGTGCCATGTCCATTGGGAGCAAACAAAGCAAGCCCATGCCAGGCATCTCTAAAGCCAACAATCTCTAGAAGACCATCATCTACAAAGGGTGGCGTCAAATCTCTCTGTGCTCCAACAAGAGGCCATACATATTATTTAGTTTTTTTTTTTGGGGACAAAAAAAAGCTGTATGAAAATATTAGTTATTTCTTGGTGTTTGAGTTTAACCCAAGGGAATAAAGATATTTAACTAAATTGATCGGAATTAGCAGATGCAATTCACCTCATGACACTTCTTTCCGTTTGGCATGCCCCAAGGATTCAATCCACCAGAAAAGCTAGGCAGGTTAAGACATACAATTGACCTGATGCTGTATATTAAATGAATAGAATCAATAAAGCATGTTAGATGTTATTTAAGAAGTTCTCAATGGCCCTTTTATTTTAGAAATCCATACACAAGAATATAGCATATATCAAAAACTAATCATCCAGTAATGACCAAAAGCAAAATGCGGTTTGCAAAAACATAAATTTTTATGACAAAAACAGGAGAGACTGTTTTGCTGGACCTTTGGCAAGTGAAAAACGCAGAGATCAATCCTTGACCGACTACTTAGGACTTTCTATGACGTACACTTCGTGTGTTTTGGTAAAAATATTCACCTGGAAGGTATGTGCAGGTCTTGCCACTCACCATGATCATGTGCTTTCATGATTTTCACTTTTACCATGTGTGCTATGTTGCTGCAACAGAAGATCAAATTATTTGATTATTGAGAGAGATGAAAACGAAATAATCATGTTCAGATCACAAATTCATGGTAAAGTTAATGCAAAACCTGTCATAGATGCGCGTATGCATGCGCATATGCCCACATTTGTGTTAGTACGGCTCACACGTATGCACACGCATGGACAATTGACTTAGTTATGGAAACTTAGGTAATATGGGAAACTTAAGTTCCACATTGAATAGTATAGAATATGTGTTTAGAGAAGACCTATTGCACAAAATCACTCTAACTGATTCAGAACTAAATTCTTAGGCGTATATGAAGGTATGATAGTCTAGGAAAGAAACTAAAGTTTATAGTCTAAGATCCAACAATTTTCTGTTAGAGCAGAGGAAGAGATCATTTCCAAATCTTGACTCTCGTGTTCTCTCCACATATAGACAAATAATATGATTAAAATATTCCACCAATAAATTATCAGGATCACATTTTGAAAGGAGAAAAAAACAGTCGACCAAATATTTAAAAGACACGATCTTAACAGAAAGCCCTATATAGTCAGAGCATCAAATGCAAGTTGCCAATTTAACAATTTATCAGTCAGTATTAGAGCATGTTCATGAATTTGTTAATTAGAATTATGCTAAATTATTTCTGAATCTATTGAAGTGGTGTAAGACGCACTTGAAAAGACATCACGTTTTAAGTGTGACAAGTAGGTAAAGACAAGCTATAACTTTGACGATGCAAATGATTGTCTGAACTGTGCAAGATCTACATGAACTAACCTGGAAGATGGATGGCAAAGGGAGGCCGTAAACCATCCTTGTGTGCATCCAAGCTTAGCATATGTACTCTGACATGTAGATTGGAGTCATCAAGACAAAATGGGTGACTAGAAGTGGATCGACATATATTGTATAGGCATTAATCAACCATATACTATATATGCATTTACTCTAATTACTGCAATAGGTACAGAGGGCTTGATTACCTGATTAACTAGTTGATTTTTAAACTTTTCTGGATGCATCTTTCGTTCTGAATGAAATGCGTAAGATATTTGAGCATCCATTCCTACAGTCAGTAGTCATAAATCTTATTATCAGCAAAACTTATGTAGGAAGTCCATGAAATTTTAATCGGTAGATGGTAACAGTATATAATCATGACACATTTTTCAGATCATGTAAAAATTAAGTTTCCATTGCCAAAATTTATTCATGCAGAACTATGCATGCTACATGGTTGTCAACCAAAATTGCATAACCTAAAGAGATCAGAAAAGGGGAAAAGGGAAAATTTAACACTGTCCAGAATATTCCATGTCAATTAGTTATACAGGAAAACAAAAAATTCTCACCCATGCTGAAGTAGTTCCAAAATCCCCCACGGAAACTGTGGCAACCTTCCTGAGAAGAAGAAAAAACAGTCATGCAAGGAAGTATAGAAAGCAAGGAAAGATTTTTTTCCCCGCTCCCCCAAAATTTGAAAATATTAAAACAAAAAAATTATGAGCTACCGTCACCCTCATTGTTTTTGTTATTTAAAAATCCATACGTCAAACAAGTAGAAAAACATGTGTGGAGCCTTAAGCAATGTCAGCCGGCTGGTAGACAAGAGACTTCTATTTAAAAGTGGAGGCTCCCTGCTCCTCTATTGGCTTGGGCATTAGGATTAGGTTCTCCTCTGGACCATGAGCTACATGTGACGTATAAAGCTGATGGTTTCTCATTTAAATGCCTAAAGATGCACCATGAACCAGATTGGGGAGATCTCAAAATATCAACTTATAGAATGTCTTATTGTCTTACCATATTCAGTTCATCTGCCTCAGATACACGATGGAATGCGTGTAAAGAACGCGGCAGTTCAAGAGGCGCTATGGGATCGCAGGAACCATCTTTCGGAATCCTCATCCTCATGAGAATGTGCCAGCTGATGTGTTATTAAAACAAAAAATAACCCTTCAAAATTCATACTTTTGCTAAGGGTTTAAGGACTTGGGGAGATAAGCAGGGGCAAAATAAAGGCTGAAAACAAGGAACAAAGTTTTATGACTAAACTTAACAAACAGCCTCCATGGCCTTAAGGAACCAAAATAATGAATTCAAATGGGTAAATTACAGAGCATACTATTAAATATAGCAAACATAAGAGAGTAACACCGTCTGAGCAGATCACCAAAAAGAGCATATTGTAGTGGTTTCAACAAAATGAAAATTCAATCCTAGAACCACTAAGGAATTATAAACTTTCAATTTGGATTTATTAAAACCCTAATATGTAAACCATGTAAACAGCGGCATATTAAACTAACAATGATATATTAGGGTAGGATCACAATTTACTTGTCTATTTTCATTTCCTTAGCTTCCATGACTTGCTTTAAGAATGATTCAACCGAGTGTTCATCTGTTCCTGGGTTCTTCTTCCCCTGTAAAGAAGCCCAATACCTGTGTCATTCTTCTATTCATGTTAAATATTTACTTCCATGCACTAAGATCAACTGCAAAACTAATGGGTCTGATTTACTTTATTCTATAAAATCCTATTTATCATCAGGGCTAACTGGAAATTTCCCTACCGTCTATTAGAAAATAAAGGCATAAGAGGAACCAAAACATCAAAAATATAAAGACAAAAGATGTGCCCTTTCGTGAGCATCCAATCAAAAAGCCACAGGTAGAGGGAGCATCCCTTGCTGTGCTGTGATGCACCCAAAGAAAGGGGTCCTCTTTTTACCTTTTTCTTTTCTTTTTGAGCTTTATTCTTTACTTTTACTCTGCTGCGCTGCGCTGCTGCACAGCGTCCAATTCAAAACAAGCCCTTATACAGTTTGAACTTCTAGTGTTAAAATCATAGTTCTTGAACTTTACATCGCTTGTGGTGTCAGTATGTTTTAATAAGCAATTCAAAGTTTCATGAAAAAGCAACCGCAAAGAGAAATGCAGTCTCATACCCAACCAAATGCAAAAGGAAGATTATTCCCTGTTCCCAAGGGAACTGTGGCTATCGGTGGAGGATGAGATAATTTGAGATCACAAACAACACCAAGAAGCCAGCCTGCAGTTCCATCTCCCCCTGCAACCTAAAAACAATGTAACTATCAGAAATTCATGAGGGTATGCCTTCAAAATCAATAAATTAAGGCAATTCAAATGGCAAACTCAGATGGTCAGAATAATTTCTGTTAAAACATCAAGCATGACTCAACTCACAATTAATTTCAACCTCTCCATAGTCCGTACAGCAAACTGATCATGCTGCTGCTTGAGCTTTTCAAAGTTAGCATAGACTCCACGCAGCACCTTATCAGGAGCTTCTTCCCCCAAATCAAAAACCTGAAAATTGTTCCTTTGCACATTTGAGATTGAATAATTTCAATTGCAGACTTCGTTTCTACAGCTTCCAATGTGTGTGTGTATTCATGGACTTGAAGATTCTAGAAATATTCAACATAAAACCAGCAAGGCCTTTTTCTTCCTTTTCCTTTTGGCTGTCTTTACCTGTTTTTCATTGAGAAGAGAACGATACGTTTTAAGAAGGTCCCCTCCCAGCTGACCACCACTCTTGGAGTTAGTAAAAACTAGCACTGGGCATGAAGGTGCATCATGATTGATCTCACCCTTTGATGACTCCGGTACAAGTATGTAGCTAGGGATCTGAAAGTTCTTCAAGAAGCTGGGCTCAGACTTGTGACAAGCCATTGTTTGTATGCAGCTGCACAACTGTATCGTGTTCACAGTTTTATTTTGTATAAAAGATTAATTTGACAAGAAAATAAATTGGAAGGGAGAATGAATATATATATATATATATATATATCCAAATGTAAGAAGCACTGTGTACTTTCTGAAAGAAGAAAAATATTACGCATAACTCAACCAATTTTTAAGGTAGATAAGTAAATTCAATCCGCATAATAATAGTAGTAGTAGGAGTACAAAGATAGCGAAAAGAACAAGTCTAATACTTCCTTATCGCAGTCTTTATCAAAGTTAAAGGAAATTTAAGATCAAATTAAAAACTGATATACGATTGATCATTTATCAAAAAAGGGTTTATTATCAGGTTTCCTTTTTATTATATCATAAAATATTTTTGGAAAAATGACCAGCGATCTCACCATAAAAAAGGAAAAAATGAGAGCCGGGAATAAGCCAAGAGTAGAAACACTTAGTTTAACTATAATACATCAAGCTGACAGATGAGGACGTGTAGCGAGACAAATGGTCGAAAGGAGAGGAGAAAAGTGGGAACGGACAGGACCGAAGTGAATGCTTCGAAATTCGTTCGAATTCATAGAAAAACTTGCAAATAAAACTCGAATTATGCAAATTCGATCACGAAAGGCGTGTGTCAACCAAACAGCTTCGTAATCTTACCTGGAGAGAAAATCCTTGCGGGATCTGAGTCTTGTATTCCAGAATTAAGATGCAGAGGGAAACCGGAAAAGAGAGAAGGAAAACGAAATACTCTCAACCTAACACAAGAAGCATAATGGATTATGTGAGTTGGCAAAATTCAGACGAACATTCATGGACGCGGAGTTAAAAAGGGAGTAAGATGTCAGGGGAACAACAAGGGATCTTGGTGGGTCCGTTGGAAGCGGAATCCGAGTGAAGAGATGAGCACAAGAAGAATCCGAGAAGGGAATGTGAGATCGTTTTGCTGTGTCCCGGGAGCCGTGGATAGGGATCATAAAAATATCTAATACGGATCAAGTCAGTTGAGATCCAAGCGAAAAAAGAAGGATCATGGAAAAAGAAAAGTTCAATCATGGGAGCCTAAGGAGTGGTGACACCAAAGACGTAGGGTCCATTGAAAAGCTGCCTCACATGGGCATTCGAGCTCATGGCTGGCCAGTGAGAGCTGGTTGTTTGCACCTACCAGACTTCGAATTGGCGCCATTTGGAATGACACCTTGGGAGCTGGAACCGCGTAATTATCATTTAGGATCTCATATCTTAAAAAGGCCAAGCAAAGTCCAGGTTTTTTTAATTGATATAAAAAAAATCAATAAAACAAAAGAAAATTTTAGTTAAAACTAACTACTTGAAAATTTTATTCACTAAAGGTAATGAGCACAACTCTTATTTTAACTATGAGCAACATATTTTTAATTAAGTGTAAAAGTCTTCATCAAAATAAAAGTCATTTCTACAACCCAAAAAAAAAAGTCTCATACAAGTTGAAGAAAAACTGCACTACTCAATTTCAAGTATCTCTAGCTAGTGAAATTTTTAAATGGGTGCTTTTAACTAATTTTTTCCAAACAAGAGTGCCCATGTCATGCGGTTAGGGGGTTGCTATCTTTAAATCTTTAGTGAGCCGTTATTTTCAAAATATGTATAATTAAATATTGACATTGTTGACACTTTCAGTGATGTTTTGAATTATGACGGGAAGAGACGAACTAGAACATGCAGAGTCAAACTACAGTTAGTATAATATCAATAAAGTCAGAATTAATTTCAGTGCTCATCTCAATGAGGAATTCTGTGCAACCCCTCTAACCAATAATCATAATTTGTCTACTAATTTCGTTAATTAATTGATGGAATCGATTGCACGTATGCATGAGATGCCGTTCTTTCTTGTCTTATTGGAACCTGAGTTGATTAAAACATCGTTATACTATCCCCAACAGATTCCATATTAATTCTAGAATTTTCAATTGTACCTGCTGCTGAGACCTTTCTACCCTTGATGAGTAATTTTAGGTTAATTAATTAACATTTACACACTGGACTCTCTTCTGATCTTTATTGTATGCATAGAATTATAACTCAAAATTCTTGGGATAACCCATTCCACATGTGCTTCCCGTCACGTTGCTCCAACTCTTCTTGTTCCTCATTTCCAATAGGCCCATCAGAACTCCCAAGTTCGTCTGCTCAGTTCTGGTCTTTTTCTCCACTATGTGTGTGTGTGTGTGTATCTTTGGTATATGTTCTGCATTTTATATATTCACCTATCCATGAAAGAACAGAACAATCTTGATCCGTTTGGTTACCCTTATCTTACGTCCGCATTAGCCACAACTGTAGCGGAGAGGACAGAGGCCATAATATCGCACTTCCTTGTGCCTTTGTTCTTCTGCCACATACGGTGGAGATACAAGGTTCTGGAGAAAGGAAGTATCGTACGTCCAACTTGTTCGATAATGCAGAAATGTTGGGAGTGACTGGGGATATGTTGGCGTCCAAGGAGCTCTGTGATGGGATGGTTCCAGTTCTGGTGACACCGTGTGGTGGAAACAACCTTAAATGCCTCCATCGCCAGAAAACCTTCTTCTGTAGAGCAGGATCTCATTATTCCAGTTTTGATTCAAGATTTTGGTAACTAATTATAATTAAGCTTCAGTGCTTCTCGTAATTAACTCCTTCAAAAATTGACTACAGACTCGTTTGGGATAGTTTGTAAGAAACTTTTTAATCGTAATTTATAAAATATGAGAGGAATTTTGTCTCAACTTAACTGAAATGTATTTATAAGTAATTTCAATCGTCAATCCAAACAGGCCTGCACCACCATTTTTTAACTTTTCGGATGCTAGTCTACTAGACTTGACTTCGAATGTGGTGAATAATAAAATCATTAATTGTCTCTAGTTAGCTTGTTGATAATTAATTAGAATTCAGAGAACATTAAATTTTGATTCCTAGTTTACTGAATTAACCTTCTGTTTTGTTAAGAAGTGTTATTGCTGTAGAATCATGGTTATATAGTTGATTAAGGGAAAAAAAAAGACCATATAGATGAATTCAGTCACATCTAAAGAGGGGCAAAGGTAAAGGTAGCTCCAACTTTGGTGCTGCCGTGCGGTTTCAAGGAACAGTGCTGGAAAACAAATGGTAAAAATTAAGATTCCAAATGGTGTTTATTTCATATATTCTCTTTCTATCAATGTTCATTTCACACACATATATTTACATACTCCTTTGGTCCTAAATATAAGACCATTATATTAGTGTGTATAAAGATCTTATATCTAGGACCAGAAGAGTATATATATTCACGCTTTAATAGTGATAATCAAACATAATTTAAAAAAAAATAAAAAGAGTGCAAGATTTAATTGCAATATTGTTCATCATTCCGCCAAATTAAATGCGCTAGTTGAGGGGCATTGGAATTGTTAATAGGCGCCGGTTGGTACGCCTGATTCTGTTAAGCAAGGGCATCACAGCCTGTTGCCTGTTTTCTGATCTTCTGCGTCATTAAACATGTTGTCTGTTTTAGATCCTTCTCCTGCGTAATTTTCTCTTGAATATTAACGACTAGCGCCACAGCTTTCAATGGTTCAAGGTTACGTCAACATTTCTCCTATCCCTAATTTCAACTCTTTTTTTTTTTTATATTGGGATAATATGACAGGTTAAATACTACTCCGATTCTAAATATAAGACCCTTATACTAGTATGTATAAAGGTCTTATATTTAGGACCTGATAAGTATATTTTAAGATAAAATGTTATTAAAAGACTAAAAATGTTTCATAATCAAGTTCAATCACTTAAATATATATCTTTTCTCCTAAAATGTTCCGTGTCAAAAGCTGGAAGATCTTTTTACTTTTGGCGTCGGTTAAAAGCTAGGCGATCAATTGCAGATTATTGTAGTAGTTAGTAATAGCCAATTGCGTTTGGCCAGAAAAAAAGGTAATAGCGGATTGTGAATTATGCATGAATGTCAAATCTCTACAATTACACATACTCGTCAAATATTTTTTTTTCCTTTAAATTTTGTTTGTTTTTCTATCAGTCTTTATTTGAACATGTGATTTGCGCTTGCAAGGATTCAAATGAAAAATGTAATTTGGCATCCTCCTTGGGAGTGCAACCGAGTATTGTAACAAATTAATTATAAAAATGTTGAAGCATACAAAATTGCACCGATTAAATCAAAAGTTACAGTTGAGGATTGTTATTCAAATTTTTTTTATAGGGCACAAAAATTATATCAAATAATTATAAGATCACAAATATAAATTTTGTGGAAGAAAATCATAAATATGAATTGTGTAGAAGAAAATAAGAGTTTCGATTATTTTAAAACATCATATTTCATTTATCAAAAAAACTAATTTTAATTTAAGATTGTATTTAAATTAATATCTCTTAATATTTTTTTTTAATATTCAACACAAATTTTGAAAACTACTAGTCAAGAAAGCCAGAAAGCTGACAAGGGTCAAGCTTCCCGAACACGCAATTTGGATGGAAATTCAAGCCATGCGATGAGATGCCTGCCAGCCAAATAAAGACAAACCGATCCTTCTTTTATTTGATTTTACTTTTTTACCCCTTCCCACCTTCGTAGAAGAAGCCCTCAAATTGAATCAGTCCAACTAGCGAGATCAGATATCATTAGGTTCATGATTATAAAATATAACGAGTCTAATTTAAGGAGTGCCATAAATTAATAAAATGTTCAGTCTTTCGCATTATCTTCTAATTTTTTTCACCGGAGTAATACCTATACACGACCAATTAAATTAATTTAATTTTTGGATATATAGATTATTGGATATTGAGCCGCAAAAACTTTTTTTATTCGCAACTATTATTATTGCTTGCCTCAAACACAAAAAGAGCCGTAACAGCAGAGAAGTAGTAATGAAATAGCGAGTAAAGTTCCTTCTCCTTTCCCAGAAATTCTAAATCCTATAAACAAATGGTTGTAGGAAACTTGAACTTGCCTTCCACAAAAATCTCTAGAAAATCATATTCTTATTAACGTGCAATGGATCGTGCCGCCTCGGACAATTTAATCACTCGGGGGACCAATTGTCATGCTAAATAGCATTATACAGTATGTGGGAGATTTAGGTGCTTCACAGGGCAGCTTCTTCCATTTAATTTATGTCTGAAACTTCTTCGCATGTGGCCTCTCATCTACGAGGAAAGAAGGACAATATTTTATTTGTATTCAACAACCAGTAATTACGTCGAAGAGTCCCATGAATACGCTTCTCCAGTACTATTATTCCATGCAGACTCTGTTTGAAGTTTGAACTTGGACCCCCCACGGTCACGCTACTTCCAACGAGACTGCTATAAATAGTTTGATAATCACGACATCGCTTCCCAGGTTGAGTAACATTTCATTCTCCATTAATCACCACATTGATGGCTCCGATGGAACATGCACGCGCTAATAAGCTTCTTGAGCAATCTAAGGTTGGTCCAGCAATATCCCCAGATAGAACCACTCTTCCTCTCACATTCCTGGATATCTCTCTTGCAGGTCCTATCTACGTCAGACGTCAATTCTTCTACCAATTTCCTTACCCTGCTCACCATTTCATCCGCACTACGCTTCCCTCTCTCAAACACTCTCTCTCCGTCGCACTCCAGAATTTCTTCCCTCTCGCCGGAAACCTCCTCTGTCCGCCGCCCCCTCACAAGCCTTATATACGCTGCACCAGTGACGACTCCGTCAGCTTAACCGTAGTCGAGTCCGCTTCTGATGATTTCAATCACTATTCAGCTAACTACCCAAAGAATCTGGAAGACTTGGAATGTTTGGTTCCCAAGTTATCATGGAGTACAGTGGATGAAGACATCAATGGAGCTGACTCCACATTCGTGTTCCCAATCGTAGCCTTGCAAGTCACAGTTTTTCCTAATGTTGGCTTTTGTATCGCCATCACGTATTGCCACGTGATGGATGACAATTGTTGCAGCCACTTCATGAA